TCATCCGGGAGGGCTCGAAGTAGACCCGCTGCTCCTCCACATCGAGAGGAGCCAGTTGAGGTGGCTTGGGCATCTGGTCAGGATGCCTCCTGGACGCCTCCCTAGTGAGGTTTTCCGGGCACGTCCAACTGGGAAGAGACCTAAAGGTAGACCCAGGACACGGTGGAGGGACTATGTCTCTCACCTGGTCAGGAAATACCTTGGGATTCCCCCGGAGGAGCTGGCCCAAGTGGCTGGGGAGTGGGAAGTCTGGGCCTCTCGCCTTAGGCTACTGCCCCCGCGACCCGACTCCGGATAAGCAGATGAAAATGGATGGATGGATGCATGGCAACACAATGTTTCTCATGAAGCTGAATATATTTTAAAAAATACAAGCTAAAACACAAAAATCTAAATAGAATGAACTGAAGTAAAATGTTAGAACAGAAACAACAATTCTTCCTGCTTTCCTGATATTGGATCTTTTTTTTTTTTTTTTTGCTCGTGAAAGTTTTTCTTCAATAAATGCTGTTAAAATGATGCTTTGCTGCATTTTTGTTGACAATATTAAAATTCAGTTGGAGGTTTATCCTTTTTCTCTGCCTCTGGATCAGCTGATCCACGGGTCTTACAGCTGTGGCACCACAAAGTAAAGCGAGAGAGCGTTCACAATCGTGTTTTATTACTAAATGGGATAATCAGCTGAAACAGTTGTGGGAAATTTGTTGAAACTAAATCACAGGAGATGTCCAGTGTTTGAAGCCTGTGTTCATAAACACACTGCTTTTAATTTGCATTAACAAGCTGTTTGGACTTTACTGTCGCCCAGAATATTTTCCTAAGGATGTTTATGTAAAACCAGGTCTGAATAACTGATGTCACCCTGTCTTCTTTAAACGGGCGAAGACTTGCCTTCAAATTTAAAATCTGTTCCTCTAATTACAAGTCAGGCAGGATAGCTCAATGGCTGCTTTCAGGCGAGCAAGGTGTTGGGAGACCCTTGCTTTACAGGGTTAATGAAAAGTCACTCAGACCCCCCACTGCCCTGTGGCCAGAAAAACGCAATTGCAACTTCAGACTGGCGGGCCGCCAAATCAGCGGGATTAATGTTCTATTCATCCTGGAAGGAGTCGAAGCTTGCTAAACTCAATAATGGGCCATTCCCATCTGTCCCGGGTCGGCCAGGGCCGGGTAGCCCCAGTCGGCCCCAGCCTGGCCCGGTTGATTCCACACATCCTTGCCTTAAGCCCATGTGGGCTGATTCTACCCACCAATCAGAGGCTTGCTCTACTGGAAGGTGTGAATTTGCTGTCAGCAGTGGGTGTGTTGGCCCTGGTCCTGAAGCAGACCCCCTCGAGAAGAGGGCTGAGAATGAGCCTTGGTTGGCCCAGAAAAATACCAGGCCACCCAGATATGTAAACAACCTACGCTACCCGGCCCGGGCCGACCCGGTACAGATGGGAATGGCCCATAATTTTTCTTCTCTTCTTCATGCCTGGTTCAATTTGGTGAGACAAGCAGTTGTACTCCACTACATCTTTTCACACAGAACTAAAATAACTTTTGCCGCCTGTTGAAAATAAACTCATTCTTGGCATCAAAATGTGTCATTGAGACATCATACATGGGAGCTGTGTGCGGTGATAGGAGATGTGCTGGATGCTACTGTTTCATGGACTGTTGACGGTGGTTTGACGGATGAGGGCCCAGCGCCTCCAGGTGCTGAGACGAGACGTTTATGGGGGTGGGAGTGACTGTTTGAGTTGCATTCTGGTGCTTTGGTTAAGGGGGTGGTATACAGTGTGTCGAATGATGTTTCTGAATCTGAAGAGTGGTGGTGTGTTGGGGTCGGGGCATCTGTCGGCTGGTGGTGTGGATGAAGGGGCAGGTGTGGTGGCGGTGAAGGATAAGAGGACGTTTTTGGCCTTTCTGGTTAAGGCCTTGCGGAGGGTGAAACATGTGGCAACCAAGCCCCCATAATTCGGGTCTGAAATTGAAGCCAACACAGAAGTGACAAAAAGTGCGGTTCCGCCCTCATCCGCTGGGGCTGGTGTCAGAAGTGAGCAAATCCTCATTACTCCCATGTTAAAAATACCAATTTCACAGCAGAAATAAACATGTTTTCTAGTTTTGAGGTTTGCTCTTTTGAACTTGGACCTTTTCCTCTACTTTTTGTGGCGTTGACTTATCGCCCGCCTGGACTGACTGTGGAATTTCTAAAAGACTTTGCTGATCTCTTGGCAATGAATGTGTTGAAATATGATAATATTTTGATTGTAGTAGATTTTAACATCCATATTTGTTGCCCTGATAACCCGATGGTCGAGGAGTTTTTGCACCTATTAAGTTCCCTGAATCTTTCTCAGTGGGTTCAGGGTTCTACACAAGTGAAGGGACACACTCTTGACCTAGTTCTTTCCTCTGGTCTTCAGTCCATTAATGTGGACACGTTGAGGCCTGTTTTCTCAGACCACTCTCCGATTTTATGTAATTTTAGTGTTCCATCTCTTCCTGAGAGGCGCAGTCGTGCCATAAATCCTGCTAAGGTGGCGAGATTCAGTGAGTGCTTCAGTCTAGCAGGACAGGATCTTCTCTTAGCCCACCTCCCTGTTGAATAGTTTATTACTCGTTTTGATACACTATGCACATCTGTTTTTGATGATGTTTCTCCCTTTAAGATTAGGAAAGAAGAGCATAGGGCAGAGCCGTGGATGTCTGAGACCCAGGCCTCCAGGCAGGCCTGCAGGAGAGCTGAGCGAAAGTGGAAGCAAGACAAACTTCATGTGTCCTATGAAATTTATAAAAAGCCACTTTTTGATCACAGGGAAGTGGTACGACAGGCTAGGATCAGATACTATGCCAACATTGTGGAATCAAATTCTCATGACCCACGCACTCTCTTTAAGGTGATTGATCCAGTACTGGAAACTGCAACTTCTGCCTCCAGGCCCATGGCTGCGATGGCTGGGACATGTGAAGATTTTCTTCACTGCTTTGTGGACAAGATAGTGATGATTCGGGTTGCTATAGTAGGCCGCACTCCTGTTTTCGTGGCACCTATGCCACTTAGGGCAAACCTGCCAGCCTTCCAGACTATATCTGACAGAGCTAGAGGAACTAATTTCTAAGCAAAAACCTTCTAGTTCCCCTTATGATGCTCTTTCCCCAATGATGCTTAAGGAGGCTTTTTCTGTTCTGGCCCCTTATATACTGGTTATCTTAAATACCAGTCTGGCCTCTTGAGTGGTTCCCCTTACTTTTAAGAGGGCTGTTGTATGACCGCTGCTGAAAAAAAAGGGGATGGAGGAAACTGTTAGCCAATTACAGACCTATCTCACATCTACCTTACTTATCTAAGCTGCTTGAGAGGGTTGTATATTTACAGTTGGTTACATTTTTAGACACTCACGAACTCTGGGAGATCTTTCAGTCAGGGTTCAGAGCAGGTCACAGTACCGAGACTGCACTTTTGATGGTTCTTAATGTTTTTTTTAGCTTGTGACGGGGGGGATGCTGTCATTCTTTTGATGTTAGATTTGTCTGCGGCCTTTGACACGGTCGATCATGACATACTTTTGGATCGGCTGCAACATTGGGCGAGAATTACCGGTGCAGCCCTACAATGGCTACACTCCTACTTATCAGACAGAAGTTTTTGTGTCAGTGTAGGTGAAACCTCCTCGACCTGGGCGGGACACAAGTGGGGTGTGCCACGGGGGTCTGTATTGGGTCCGCTTCTTTTTGCCATCTACTTACTACCATTGGGGAATCTTCTTCGGCGGTTCGGCATGCGTTTTCATTTTGATGCTGACGACTGTCAGATCTACCTCCCCGTTCAGCGGGGGGTCGATGGGTCAATATCAAAGCTTGTAGATGTCTTAAGAGGATGTGCGCTCCTGGATGGCTACAAACTTTTTACATCTGAATGACGCTAAGACTGAAGTAATTGTACTTAGCCCTGGCATGTCTACACGCCCATGTGATGCTGTGAATCTGGGCTCTTTAGCATCTAATATGAAGACCACCATCCAAAATTTGGGAGTGCAACTGGACTAAGCCCTTAAATTCGATGCGCAAATCAACCGGGTTGTGCGATCGTGTTTTATTAATTCACGCCAACTAGCCAGAATTAAGCCCCTGCTGTTCAGAGTACATTTAGAGAATGTCACACATGCTTTTGTTCTTTCAAGGCTCAACTACTGCAATGCACTGTATGCCGGCCTTAGTCAGGGTGCGGCACGCTTGCAGTTAGTACAAAACTCAGCCGCTAGGTTCGTGACAGGCACTAGGCGCAGGGAACATATCACCCATGTTAGCATCCCTTCATTGGTTGCCTGGGCAATACAGGGCAAAATTCAAGATCTTGGTGCTGGCATACAAGGCCTTACAAGGAACTGCTCCAGCATATCTTGGCAACCTTTTGCATAGACATGCCCCCTCGCGGGCCCTTCGTTCAGCCGGCAGGGAACTGTTGATCATTCCACGCACTAAGTGCAGGTCATGGGGGAACTGTGCATTCTCGATGTTGGCACCTGCACTTTGGAACCAGTTGCCTTTGGTGGTGCGTCAGTCACCCTCACTGGGGTTTTTTTAAGACTCGCCTTAAGACCCATGTTTTTGTTGAGTACCCCATTCTCCTGGAGTACCCCCCACAGGGCCCCCCGAGGGACGAGGTCAAAAGCCTTCTTCAAATCCACAAAACACATGCAGATTGGTTGGGCGAACTGCCACACACCCTCCAGGATCCCCCTAGAGCTGGTCCAGTGTCCCACGGCCAGGACCCAAACCACACTGTTCATCCTGAATCTGAGGTTCGACAATCTGACCGACCCTCCTCTCCAGAACCCCTGAAAAGACCTTACCAGGGAGACTCAGGAGTGTAATCACCTGTAAATAAATAAATCTGGGAAAAAGTAAAGTATATTTATTTCTATTAAATCCATTTGAGCCAAAAAAAAAAGACTGTGATCATTCAAAATCTTCCTACATTCATCTTGTAACCCTAAAAATGACAAACCAGGTAAAACAAACGTAGCCAAATATTTTAATGCATTCCTGATATATTGAAACGTTTCGCAGTTAGCTCACAAAAAAGTTTTTATGCCAACATATAAAACTTTACAAACATGTATACAAGTATACATCATGAAGGAAAAATACAGTTTGGCAGGGAGGAAGTCACAGTTTGGTGAGGAATCTGCAGTAGTTTGCTTTACAGTTTAAAGTTACTAAATACAGACATTTTTTTCTCAAATTTATGAAAAGCAGCGCCCCTCCCGCCTGTCATCTGGAGTTGTAGATGCTTATTCTTATCTTAAGAATACCGGCGTGTACTTCTCAGAATTCTACTGCTTTAACTCGGTTTTTAAAACCGTAAGCGGCAGTAAGAAACCAACACAGAGATTTTGGGAATAACTTCAATCTACTGGACTGAAACCTCCAAACCTCTGGACCGAGGTTTGGTTTGGAGTAGCTTTTCCTTCTAAAAGGGGGTCAATATTTAAGTTATGGAAGCGGATTAGGGACACGGGGAAAAAAAACAAACAAAATAACTCAGATTTCAGAGACATAATTTCTTTTTTCAGTGGCCCTAATGCTCCCTTGTATTAAACATGATAAAAAAGTATTTGTACTTCACGTTGCTCCTCTCACCTGATTAATTACAACCATTAACATCCTTTTCCAGCTGAGAAGTGAATGAAACCGGCGCCAGCAGCAGCCCAGGAACGTTGCAGCAGCTACTAGAGCAGATTTGTCAGTGAGGACTTCAGCTCCACCTCAAATAGGACCGATCCAGAGGCAGCTTTAGTCTGGTTGGTCGGCTGTGTCGTCAAAAGGCTGGATTTACCGGCTACTAAAATGAGCTCATTTCCATTTATCTGGATGAATTTACTTTTTCCTCATCTTCCTGTATTTTTTCTCATTAACTGAAGAAAGCTCCAGCCCTGAAACGTAGTCCGTTGTAGTATTTTTGTGAACTGGCGCGTTCGAAAACATTGACAGAAACAAACATTTAGAAAACCAGTTCCTTTATGATAAGATAGTCATCATCTTTCTGCGTGTTCAGAACATGGAAGCATCTGAAGCAGAAGGGTTGAACATTCATCCGTTTCCAGTAAATAAATATAAAACAAAACAACACACCCAATCTGGATTCACTTCCTGGCTCTGCTCATCTTTCATCACTGGCCTGAACCCCCAACACTAATGATGAAAATCTAAATGACTGCGGCATATTATTGTTACAGAACCCTAACCCGTTCACAACACAGGAGACATCAACAGGATGAGACCAGTTGAGCCCAATCCCAGATTATGCCCTTCAGTCTTGTGTCACAGAAGTAATCTAAAGATATTTGAGGCCTAAATGAAGAGAAAACAAACAAATAAGGGGGAAAAAATAGTTCAGGACACTTAACAGTGATTTTCAAAAAGGTAAAATGCACTTTGGTGAGGGAAAAAGCCGAACTTCAACAGGGGCTCGGTGCTTTTCCACCACACTAAACACTACTGGAAATTTCAGACTCAACAGAAAGCTGAATGGTCCTACGTGGGCTCCAGTGGTGTTCACAGCTTTAACCTTTGTTGATGAATTAGTTTGGGTGAAAAAGGAGAAAAGTTCTGCCGAGGCCCGGACAGTTGGTGGACCGATGGACAAGGACGAACCCCGGCGACGAGTTAGTGGACGGCCAGGATCACCTTCTCACTGGACAACCTCGAAGTAGTGCAGGATGGCCATGATGTGCTGCGGCATGAACACGTAGCCAGTGTAGATGGCCATGCCGGCCACAGAGATTAACAGAGAATCTGGGTGGGAGCGTTAAGGAGGACGATCCGACAGATTCAGTTTCCACTGAGAGGAGGAAAAATATAAAGCCACAGCTTAACCCAACTACTGATTCAACCGGGACCCATTAAAGCAGCAGAGCTACAACATAAAGGGCTTAGAGGACAAGCTTGAGAAGAGGAATGTATGCGGGTCATATAAAATCTGAAAAAGCATAAAAAGTCAAATAAGGCTACGTTCTCTGCTACCTTCCTGTTTTTGTTTACGTTAGGATTTAAATGTAGCTGCCATCTTCAGACTGCAGTCTGAACGTCCTGCAACCCCAAAGTGACCTGCATGTTCAGAAGGAGACGGCGAGCTGTTTACAAGAGTAAATATGGACGTTCCACATGTTGGAGGGTGTGTGCAGCTCAGACTAGGGTTGGGCGATTTGTAGCATTTTCCCCACCGCCAATCGCCAAAGACAGACGAGATGTTTAAATCCATGCATGTGACGCTGTGACACACAGACTGATTAGCAAACACAGAAGAAGCCCAAAACATAGATTTTTTTTTATTCAAGTGCAGCGCAAATGTTTGCTGGAAGAGAAATTTAGATTTTTCCTTTTTATTTAATTTTGTATTTGTAGTTTGGTAGAGTTACGTATAAACTGCTCATTTTAAAGTGACAATGTGTAGTTTTTAATCCATTTTAAATCCAACCATTCACTACCAATTTCACTGCAGTTTTTCACTATATGGGCATCGGAACGAGCCCCCGCACCGTGAGAAAAAACATCTCAGCTCTAAAGCCGATCTTCGTCCGCGTACGTCACAGGTCACGTGATCAGAAAATCCATGAGTTAGGAGATCGTTTGGGCTGCTGCTGTAAAAAAAGTGAGGCGCAAACCAGAAAAGCTTCTGCCGATCACAATTCAACAACGGATTATGAAAGAATGGATAACGCTCGAAACGCACATTCTTCCTGATGTAAGAGGTTTACTCTTTGTTTTGGTTATTTTGGCGTCGACGTCATCCTAGCGCGCAACGTTCTGTGACTTAAAGAAACGGTGAGAAAGGATGGCAGTGAACGGCTTTACCGATCAGGAAACGGCTGGCAGTGAATGAGTTAATTTCTGGAAATATCCATCAGAATGTTGTAAATGAATTAAAAGATGCCCGGCTGTTGAAAAATATTGGCAGTTTCATAACAGATAACCATAAAATCTGTTCTAAAATACATGGGAGCAGGCGACGCCATGATGGATGCCATGTTTCCTTCTACAGGAGCCCGTGAGGACAAAAAGCATTTGCTGATTTGTAACAAATAACTACAAAACTTTCAACATTAATAAATGCTCGTTTACACATTTACCTCTGCATTCTGTCATTGGAGGTGACCTGTGGTTTCCACCTCCTTTGACAGTCATTCCGATTGATTAAAGGGATCCAGATGTTCTTGTCATTTTGCTGGAAGATGCACTCCCAGAGATTTTTGACCTTAATGGCCATCCGTTGTAAGGTCTTACTTGCAGTGATTTAGGTACCTACTGCCCCAGTCACTTTACACACGGTTAAAATGTTAAAAAGAAGCCGTGTCTTTGTTTCCCTGTGGTGCCCACCGCTGTGCTATAACATGTTTATTTCTGAACACAGGCTACTGGGTTGCTTTCTTATACGAGTAGAAAATGAAATGAATCGCTGCTGCGTTTGGACGCACTCCGAGGAGGCAGCATTTGCTCGTTGCCAAAGGCTGCACGATCCATTTATGTATTTATCACGTTCATTTTTAAAATAATGAATAATCGTTTCTTAAATTTCCAATTATTTTAATTAATATTTAGTCCAAACAAGCTGAACAGAGTGACCCAGTAACATAAACAATGCATTTGACCTGCTGTGGCCCGAACGTACATTCCTTCTGCTCCACGTGAACCTGACCTGGTCTGATCAGATGCCCCTAAGGAGCTTGCTGTAGAGGTTTTGAGGTTGTGGACTTTTGCCTCAGACAGACTCTGTTTAAATGTTGTTCTGGATGAATCTGCGCGCCGCTGATGCACTCAAAGCAGGTGCTGAATAACGATGAGCGCTACTTAAGCCAAAGTTTTAAATCAGGAAACATTTCTCCAAATGAAATAACCAGGTCTTCTAGACTATCTGAAAGTCGGAAGGGTTTCCACTTTCCACTCGACACAGAGCTGCTGTGCACAACGTCGAGTGCGTCACAGACAGACGCTCACCGAGCTTCTCCTCAGCGAGCCGCTTGCACGCCCACTGTCAGCAGCGAGGCGAAGGAGGTGAGAAAACGCTCTAATGCATGGATGGAGACCTTTTCTTGATTGTTACCGCTGCGATGTTCTCTGTGTGTAACATGTAAAATATCTGTCAATAACAAACTAATGGGCAAACAAATCGCCTCCTGTAACAGCATTCATTCGTCCCATCGCCCAACCCTAGCTCAGACGATGTCGTACATTCAGATCCAAGAAAATAACGATAATGTGTGTTGTTCGTTTACATTTAGTAGGTCTTCCTGCTTCTCGACTCCTGAATTATGAAAGTGATCTGAGTCAGATTGAAATAAAAAAGGTTTTATTTGTTGTGTTGTCATTAAAAAGCTATTTAATTCTGACTGGATTTATGAGCCACAAAGAGGTCTGATGCAGTCTTAAAAACAATCATCGAGTAGTTGATGTGAACCCACTGTTCATGCTACTTTACGTGGTTATTTCTGCAGTAGGGCTGTCGCAATAATCGCAAGAACAATATATCGCGATATTAAGAAACCCACCGCGCTGCATGACGTGCCACCGCAATTACCGCACTTGATTAAATCTCGCGACAGCGCATGCTGAGAGGTAAAGTCCGCGCTGATCGAGGACATAGTAGGGCACTTGTTTTAATTTCGGTTAGATGTTGCAGCCAAATTTGCATTTCAAAGTTAAACCTCCTGAATGTTGTTTTTAAGTTCAGTCAGAGAATGCCGTTACTGCCCTTTGATCTGCATTCAATAAAGTGTTAAAAATGGCCATGCATTTTTTCTAACATTTTTTTAAATGTGTAAGCACAATGTTTCAAAGGAAATATTGCCATGAGTTTAGTAATTAACAAACAAATTTGCTAAGTACATAAATAAAAACGGGGTGCAATAATATCGCAATATTGAGCTGCCCTGACTCACCGCAGGGGGAATTCCTCGATCGCGACAGCCCTATTCTGCAGAGATATTCAGATATTCCAGCAGGAATTGGAGGCTGCTGCAAACAATCACTGGATTCAGTTAAAGCGTGTGTGACTGAATGGTGATTAAATAAATGTTTACAGGAAACATTTTTCTAATCCAAGTTGTTGTAAGAGGAGAAAACGCACCATTACATGTCTCCCATCAGCAGCCACCAAGTTAGCTTTACAAGAAACTGGTGTAAGTGATAAGCTTCTGGGTGTCTGAAGAGTCCAATACCTCATAGTGACTAAACAGCCTTTCCAGCACTATAATTTATTGTGGGGAAGCATTACTACAAGAAAGAAAGCACTAATCAAACACAAATTGCTTTAACTTTAAGCTAAGTTTATAATCAGGCAGTTGCACAGGAAGCCAATCAAACCACATTAAACAATGCATAAATCTGACTTTGTTGAAGTTTCATAAATCAGGGAAAGGTTTCACAAATCCCACACTGTGTTTCGTTTGATCTGCTACTATAGTAGAATAATCTAGAACAGAACAGGTTTGAATAGTGTAGGTGCTTTACTTCTTGAGCTAGAGCGGTTCCAGTGTCAGGCAGGTGCTGAAAAATGCATAAATCTGGTTTTGCTGAAGTTTCACAAATCAGGGAAAGGTTTCACAAATCCCAAACAAGACTGTATGCGATCTGCTATTATTGTAGAATAATCTAGAACTGGTCTGAACAGTGTGGGTGTTGTAGTTTTTAAGCAAGAGCAGATTAAAGATGGTCAGAGTAGAAAAAAATTGGGTGTAATGGCCCTTTAGCCATTTCCCGAATCAGAAGCGAACATCAGTCTTGTCCGGAAATGGGTTCATAGGTTAACCTGATCGGTTATTTGAAGCTATTAAAATCTCGACCTCTCTTGGTTTTAACCGTAAAATCCAGATAAACTTTAATCGTTCAGATACATGGTTTATCACGAAAACCTTCACATTTGATAAATGTCGTATTCCGTTCACAAAGACACTTCAGTTTACTCAAAACAAAGTGTTGTAGCATTAGCATTCGACGCTATGTTAGCTTCTGCTAGTGCGTTAGCTTCTACGCACTTCCCGGTTGGGTGTCCGACACACAAAAGGATACTAAACACGGTCCTCTCCCAGGGCTCCAGCATGTAGAGCGCAGTCACCAGAAGATACTGGTAATAAAACCAGGACAACTGCTTCCAACAGTCTCCGAGGGCCATTGTCCCAACTTCCCTTATCTTTCTGCTACTGTTTCCTGGTAGTGTGACGTCGGTAAAATCAGTCAATCACAACTCCGTCTTCCGATACGCGCCTCTGACGCAACACGGGAGCCCCAACTTCCGGTTTTCAAAATAAGAGACAGTGCTACAAGGTGCGTTTACACAGTATGTTGCCGCTCATTTAGCTGCCTCATTACCACCTAGGACTGATTAGTGTTTGTTGTTAGCCTCAGGGACTACCTGGTGGCTTCATTAGCACTTGTAAGTCGCTTTGGACAAAAGTGTCCCCTTAATACATCAACATAAACATGAGTGTCCCTGGGCAAGATGCAGATGCCATGCGTCCGATTCTGACTGCATGTTGCAGCTGAAATTGAGATCATCAGATCAGCTAATGGTTTTCCTGTCTCTTGTGGTTATTTCTGACTTTTATATCATATCTCAAATCAGACTTCCCAGACTTCTCTTGGCATAAAAAATAAATGCCATCCATACAACAGATGCTCACTGGATTGTTGATCAATTTGAATCATTCTCTGTAAACCCCAGAGATGGCTGTGGGACCAGATTGTCTGGTAACATCTTCACCCTATCTAGAAGCAGCCATTGGCTAGTTAGCGTTCTGAACAGGTGCACCTGTGGTCTGTGAGCTTAGGGGTTTTGTTGCACATGAGAAACAGAAGTGGATATTAGCATTGTAATATTCAGACTAGCTGACTTCTCTACCTGGTGCATCCACATTTAAAGGTGCAGTCAGTAACAGAAAAAAAAAACCGGCTGGCTGAATATATGTTCACATTGCATGATTTGCCCAATACCCAGTAGGTCAGGGTGCAGACTTTACTGAGCCTTCATACAAGAACCTTAACAAAACAAACAACAACTGGACTTTTCAGCAACACATCCAGAAAAACATCTGGTCTGACACCGCTCCTGTTGAGCTCCCAGTTTACCCAACAGATCCACCACAAGATGCAAAAGTCACACCTGCTATGGAAAACAGCCTCTATGCTCTAGCAGTAGCTCAACAGGTGGAGCTGGTTGTCCAGTAATCAGAAGGTTGCAGGTTCGATCCCGGCTCCAGACAGAGAATTCTGCTGTTGTGTCCTTGGGCAAGACACTTAACCCACCTTGCCTGCTGGTGGTGGTCGGAGGGACCGGTGGGGCCAGTGCTTGGCTGCCTCGCCTGTCAGTGTGCCCCAGGGCAGCTGTGGCTACATCGTAGCTCACCACCATCAGTGTGTGAATGTGTGTGTGAATGGATGAATGATACACTGTAGTGTAAAGCGCTCTGGAGTCCTTACTCTGAGAGGCGCTATACAAGTGCGGGTCATTTATCATTTATCTACATGCGACTCCATCTTTGGTCATGAACCACGTCCCAGGTCTTTGGTTCAACTCCTTCGTTGTGACTGACCAGAGCTACACCTTCATCGCTGAAGACCCAGCCCTCACCAACTGGTCCATCTCTCCTCCATCCTACCATCACTCAGGAATGAGATCAACACACTCAAACTTCTCCACTTGAGTCAGAGACTCACCACCCTTCCAATTCAAGAGAATAGCAGCATCCGTGGTAATGAAGTGGTGTTAAGGATAAAAGAAAACCAGAACAAAACCTGTGGTTTTCCCCTCCTTTGTCTATCCAAGTATTTTTATTTTAAATTAGGAATGACATGGGATGGTTTAAATGACTTGTTTGAGATCATTCAGATCAAAAGATTTAGTCCTCTTGGCCACAGCAGGAGTGTCCACCTCAACCAGGAAAACTAAAATAATACATGATGCAAGGTGAGAAGAGAATCCTCTGATGAGTGGTAGTGCAGCATCCCTCACCACTAGCTTCCTCTGAGCAGCACAAACTTCAGCGTTGAGAGGGAAACTGATGGCACAAATAAAAAAGTCTACAATACAGCACCCTCAGTCGACCTCAACAGTGGCTGGCAAGGATGTTAAAAAAATGGTAGACGTCATCTTTATCAACCACAGCCACTTCTGTGGAGCACTCAGAACATGTGACTGGGTGGTAAACCTCATCAGGGTCCGTGGAGCTGGTTGGTGCATCTGCAGGGGGTTCGACTTTCTGTCCTCTTTTCCGCTTTCTTTGCTTCCTCAGCTGCTTGGTTTTGTAGCGCAGCACCTCGTCTCGTTTCACCGTGCAGTTCATCACAAACATGGCTCGATACTGCGTCCGGTACTTCTCATGCCTGAGTGAACGCAACAAGAAGCTTCAGACCACACAAGGTGTGGATGTCACAAACGAGTTTTCAGTGAACAGACCATCAAGTTTTTCTAGTACATGAAAAAACGATGAGTGTGTGTTCTATCAACCAAATATCTAAACACTGGGCACATTTTAACGAAACTCAATGGTCGTCAGTGGATTTACAACTGATTAATGTATGAAATCAACCCGATTCAAGTTGGCCACCGTAGAACCAACTAGGGTTGTCACGGTGTGAAAATGTAACCTCATGGAAATTGTGACCAAAATTACCACGGTTTTCAGTATCATCGCAGTATTTTTTTTAAACGTGTTACATTTTCACACAATTAAATAAACCCTGTATGTCAGGAAATATTGTCCTCAGTTTGTGTCTAAATTTTGTTTATTCTAGGGCTGTCGCGGTTGAGGAATTCCCCCTGCGGTGATTCAGGGTGGCTTAATATTGCAGTGTGCGATATTATTGCAGCACTTTTTTTATTGCAGTACTATCTAAACATAATGTTTACACATTTAAAAAAGGTTAAAAATTGCCGTGCCTTCTTCAATAACACTTTACTGAATGCAGATCAAAGGGCAGTAACAACACAGATCGCAGTAACGTTTGTTTGTCCGACAGTCGGAGTCCGACTGAACTTAAAAACAACAAAATTCAGGAGGTTAAACTTTTAAATGCAAATTTGGCTGCAGCATCTAACAAATAAGAAACAAGTCCCCATTTTGTTTAGTTGTTTAAAATCAAGCATAAAAAATTACATGTACCGGGCGCGGGGCACTATCATTTCACTTTCACACACACGAATGACGGTGCTTTATAGCTCGGTCACGTCCTTGTTACCCACAAGGATAACCAGCATGTTAACCGTATACGGTTTGAGAGAGGATCTGAGAGGGGTGGCAACATTTGCAGCAACACTGAAAACCCTCTCGGATGGTGCGCTCATTGCACTAACGCACACGTACTTGCGTGCGACTCTGGCGAGCAAAGGGAATCTCTCCCGGTTTTTGCTCCACCATCTCGGGGGGTTTCTTTAGGGTGGATGCATTCCTCCTGCAGGTAGCGAGTGAGCTCCAGCTCGGCTCAAACTCTCTTCGGGACGGTTGCATTAGCAGTGCTTGTCCGGGACTTCAGCAGGTCTCCGAGCGTTTATTTATTTATTTTTGCCGCTGGTGGCAGCTCTGTCTCGGCCAAGGACTCTGGCTGCGCAGCAGCTGACGTACTGAAAACCAAAGTGCTCCCAAAGGAGCGAAGTAACGTTTCGTTTTGATACCAGTGCAGCCATCCTTCTCAACATGCATCATTGAGTTGAACCAAGTTCAGTAATCGCGGTGGCCCATGATGCAGCACGGTGGGTTTCTTCATATTGCGATATTTCATTTTTGCGGTTACCGTGACAGCCCTAGTTTATTTGTTTACATGTTTCCCCTTTAGTCTTTAAAACACCAATATTTGCCCATAACTTCTTATTTTATGTCTGTTTGATGTCATCATTTTAAAAATATTAGACCAGATGATACTCAGTACTCGAGTAGCCTTCTAATCAGACACTTTTTTACCCTTACTTGAGTAATAAACCCTATATCAGGAAAGTATTGTCCTCGGTTTGTGTCCTTCCAGTGAGCTTTGCAGATGTGGGAAAATGTCATCAGGCAGTAATCATTGTTAAATTCATAATTATTCTCGGAGAGAGACCAACTCTTATCGGCCCCTGGGAGCCCCGTAATGCATAGCGTCATTTCAACATGGGCGTGTCCGCGACACGGTTTATATGCAGGTAGCGGCGCTGCGGCTGCTTTATATAGCGACTCGTTGCATTCTCCCTCAACCCAAATCCTCGGATCACGCACTTTAGCTAAAATGCTAACGTTAGCTTGCCTTGCGTTGGCTGTAGAGTTGTGGGTGATGGTCACGCAGATGTGTCATGAGATTTGAAGCGTTGCTGCCTTTCACAGACACAGACATTTTTCTGCACGTGCTGCAAACAGGATAGCCGTCTTCTATCAACTGTCCCTCGGCATTCTTCAAATATCCAAAAGATGCCCGTACTTCCCACTTTGTCTTCTTTGAGGGATAATAAATGTCCTGAGCGCTGCCGTCTCCTCCTTTGGCCGTTATTTCAGCTTTAGCTTCAAGAAAGTTTTGGTTGTAAACAACAAAGTGCTCATGTGCCGCCGGCAACTTCAGCAGATGATACGGTGGCTGGTAAGGGTCACCGCGCCTACACCGCAGCCACGGTAATCCACCGAGATAATATATTTAAAAAAAACAAGACGGTTATGATTATTGTCCACCTTTTTACCGGGGTTTACCGCTACACCGGTTACCGTGGCAACCAGTGATGGTGCAGATGCTGAAAGTTAACCACATAACAAGTTTACCTTAGTCTGTTTAACAAACAGACTAGTAAACAAACCCTAGTAAACACTAGGGGTGAAAGAAACGATGGCTGATATAACCGCGTTCTGTGGGCCTGACACCACAGGAGGCATTCAACCAATCACAGTCGTGCTTACTCAGTTTGTGGAGGCAGGCCACGAGGAAACACTTTGCTGTTTTCTGAATTTCATTGGCTATTTGACGCATCGATCGACTATCACATGTGATGCAGTTGGTTTGCGCCACACGCGTGACAACGGGCGATTGTGTCACTCAAAAAGTTAGAAGCTAACGTTTGGATGCTAACGAGGATGATGAGACTCATCGGAGGGAAACGTTGCATGTTGTCTGCAGTCCTTGCTGCTGGGCTGAACACAGGACTTGCTGTGGACCAGGACATCTGGATGTAAACCATCTTTCTTGAAAATGGCTCTGTTCTGTTAATGCTGCAGCTTCGAACCAGTGAGTTAGACTGACTGATACGGTTGAACCCTCGATTGCCATACCTCATTGGAATCACAAGACTCCCAGCTTTCAAATGATGTGTAATGAGTATGTGCACATAGAGCAAGACGCTGATTTGACATGAACATTAGCAAAGTCCCATCTGAGAGACTAATTCATGGCATAAAAAATATTGCTGATAAAAAAAGACTGGCCCATCGCCGACAGTCCAGTCGCCCAACCTTACACTACACTGATGCATGAGTCAGAGGCAGCTAACACGCAGCTAAAATGATGAAACTCCATTGTTCCCTTTGTGCTCTGATACATGCGTGACACTGTAAATGATATGGACCCATCTGTGATGTGTCGTGCACCCTAGGGAACATTAGTGCAACCCGTTGTGATATTGCCATACCACTTTGTTTTTGGTTCATGCTAGCTGACACAATCAACAAGAACACACAGCGGGATAGTTGTGCCTGACCTCTGACAGTCCAGGCAGAGCGTCGTCATGCAGGCGGGACAGTTGAGAACAGCATCACTGTTGGGTAAACGCCGAGGTTGGCCGGATTTGGACCGGGAGGCTGCATTTGGTTGTTTTCTGCTGTTATACCTGAACAGGAACAGAAATGGGTAAACGGCCTACAAGAAGACAAAAAAAGTACTAGTGGCAATGTTTTACAGAACTACCGTCTGGCGTCTACCCAAGCCTGGTCCCTGTCATCCTCGTCTGGGTCATACAACAGCTCATCATTGGTAGGAACTACACGCTGTCTCCGCTTCCAGCTGGTAGAGCTGCCTGTAACAAACAGGTGAAATCAACCAAAATCAAAGTGAAGATGAAGTCGTGTAAAGTGACGTCGTACTTGGTGTGTCCTCGTCCTCTGAGTCAGAATCAAAGTAAACTTCGTCATACATCGGTGGATTGGGAACACTGGAACCTCCTACGCCACCGGCACCTGCTCCTTCACCACCGCTGTCTGAACAAAGAGAAACTTCATCACCACCACTTAAACTCTCAGGAATGATTTCATAGCAGTCGCGGAGGGCCACAATGATTATTTAATCACACACAATCATTAGTTGCCACGTCCAAAACAGGACACAATTTCCTTGGTCCAACTAAACTAGTTATAATAACATTTGTTGGTGTCCTACTAGCTGCTGGTGCCCAGGTTCCCTCCATGTTCCTGATGGTGGAGCTGAGCTCCGTCTCCATTTCCTTTTCAAAGTCATCCTCACTGGACGACTCGCTCTCCCCCGTCAGATACTCTCTGATCAGCTTCTTCTTCTGCTCTGCTGTCCCGTTCAGAAGCACATCCAGCTCATCCTCTGAACTGAAACACAACCACAAGAAGAAAATAAAAAACCTCAAATGTTTGGTCTGAGATGACCAGGGATGTGTACTTTTGAAATTCTGGCGATACGATACATATCACGATACAGGGGAGACGATACGATATATCAAGATATATTGCGATACATTCAGTCAGACGTTACAAGCAATTTTTTTTACTGAATTTATTGTAAGAATGTTTAACAGTCCAAACTGATACGTAACATGTTTAACATGAGGTATCTGAACCATGATGGAGGGATTTACATTTCAATGGTGGAAACAAAACCTGTTGCACACTGCTGCAAACTAGCGGGCGGCGATTAAATTGCACAAAACGAAAAGAAAATACACAAATGTTTGCATGTAAATTCTTTCAAGAATTAGATACACGGCTTTTGAATATTGATGTAATAATCGCAGGAAAAAATATCACGATATATTGCCATATCGATAGTTCCGATACACGGCTTTTGAATATCGATATAATATTGCTGGAAAAAATATCACAATATATTGCCATATCGATTTTGTCTTACATCCCTAGAGATGACTGAAAATCTACCTGACAAAACAAATGAGCAGCACTGGTGCTGCATCCCTTATTTTAACTATTACTACACAAGTGATTGACAGCTGCTGTCCGTCTCCATCTTCCGTTCCCATCAAAGTTATTTAAAATAAAAACAAGTTGAGTTTATAACCTCGTCTGTTAGTAGCGATAACCACCTTACAGCAATACCAACAAACTAAGCACAATATAAGGCTACAAACTAGCTTCTTTTGGACAAACTGTTCCCTTCACTTCCACCACGAAGAAAGAGGTGTTCCATTGAGTAGTATGACATCACATGCAACGGGAAAATATTTCAGCCAAGTAACTCTATGAGTCCAGGTCACATAAAACAGAAACACCAGAGCAGAACAACCAGATAAAGCTCGGGGCATTGTGGCCTTGGGGTCTTGGATTCAGTGGGATAGGGTCTTGAGTTCTTCTGAGAGAGTGAATCTGTTAGCGGACTGAGTATGTACTAGCATCTCTTCTCGTCGACAGTGTTTTAATAATACTGTATAAAAGTTGTGTTGAGTTTCATCTGGACCACAGTGTACAAGTCTGCTCTATTATTTTTTTAACAAGATGTACAACACTCTCGTTCTAGTTTTGTCGTAGATTAACCCAAGAAAACGAGTTTCTAAAGGCCCGTGTGGGTTCAAACCAAGCAGCTTAAATCCATGTTCATTTCCATGGATCATAATAAACAGGCTGTTTGAACCAGTAAAGGGACGAATCACCAGTTAATTTAAAACACCAACCTCACCTTAACGCGCCTCAACGCTGTTTCAGTTGTGATCATTTTGACCCTCTTTTTTATTTTAGAACGATTGCTCACAAACAGATGTCACATAAGATAGAAGGCAACATGCTTTACTCGCGCTTATACCAACATCAATTACGTTTATGAACAGTTTGTTTACATTCGCATAGTTTTGATCAGGCTTTGATGAGCCACCTATGTCCGATGCATCCACCACACACCATTTGAACTGATGTCTAGTTCATGTAGAACACCGGAGATGCTAGCCACGATGCTAATGTTAGAAACCGTAGTTTATTTGATCCCTACCTGCTCGCTGCCCGCTCCTCGTCACTTGGCTCTTCGACTTCATATGAGTCAAAGTCCTGTGATTTATTCAGCATGTTCATTCTGACGGCTGAAAGTTTAACTATGGGAACATAATTACTTCTACGTAGTGACAGAAAACGACTAGTTCTATGTCACCTTTCCACTTGGTGGAAAACCAACTCCAAACTACCCTAGCGCCCTCTAGTGGACTGGAGGGTTGAAGCAGTTTTTTTTTAAAAACTGTTTTGTCCGGGAGTCGAACTGCGTGGGTTCGATTCCTGCTCAGTGCGAATACAAAAGTAGAAATGTATGCGAAATCTGCATAATAACACTAATTATTACGTAAATAATTTTTCACAATTACCACTTTAAATTTAATTATAATTGTGATGAAGAACCACTAAGCTGTGAAATATATTTGTGATAATACACATGTAAAATTATAGAATATATATGAAAAATTACATCTGTGTTGAAATATATTTGTGATGTTATCAATGGTAAATGGCCTGTATTTGATATAGCGCCTTCTAGAGTCATGGAACCCCTCAAGGCGCTTTACAACACAATCAGTCATTCACACACACAGAGCTACGATGTAGCCACAGCTGCCCTGAGGCGCACTGACAGAGGCGAGGCTGCCGAGCACTGGCGCCACCAGTCCCTCCCACCACCACCAGCAGGCAACGTGGGTTAAGTGTCTTGCCCAAGAACACAATGACAGCGACAGACTGAGCGGGACTCGAACCTGCAACCTTCCGAAAACATATGTAATAAATGTATCTGTGTCCAAGATCATAAAAACATTAAAAGATTTAAAGTGTTTTTCGTTTATATGTATATATATATATGTATGTATATATATATATATATATATATATATATATATATATATATATATATATATATATATACATATATAAATACATATATACATACATATATATGTATATATGTGTGTATGTACATATTTATACATATACATATATATATATATATATATATATATATATATATAAATATATAAATGTATGTATATATATATATACATACATATATATTTATATATATACATATATATATATATATATATAAATATATAAATGTACATACATACATATATATATATATATATATATATATATATATATTTATTTATATATATATATATACATATATATATATATATATATATATATATATATATATATATTTATATATATATATATACATATATATATATATATATATGTATGTATGTATGTATGTATATATGAAACAAAAGAAGAAGTCTCAAAAGTCTTTAAAAAGAAAAATCCAAAAGTAGAGAGTGCATGTATATATTAGTTAACAACAGCCTAATGCAGCAGCACACCAGCAAAAACAATGTTAACATTTCACGGCATTACGGTAAAAACTAAATCCTGTACCAACTTAATCCCCCTAAACAAGCTGTAATGTTTTAATTGTTAAAAAATTTTAGGTTACAAATAAAAAGTATAAAAGATAGTTACTTCTCACATCTCAGATTGCAGAACGAAGCAATGGCGGATTGCTCAGACAGACTGTGACAATCCAGCTCTCTGATTCGTCGGCAAAAATGTCAGTCTCAAAAAATGGAACAAATACGGCCATTTGATTGGTCAACCTAATGGGTGTTTTTTTAACTGTTTTGTCCGGGAGTCGAAGTGCGTGGGTTCGATTCCTGCTCAGTGCGAATACAAAAGTGGAAATGTATGCGATATCTGCATAATAACTCTAATTATTACGTAAATAATTTTTCACAATTACCACTCTAAATTTAATTATTGTTGTGATGAAGAACCACTGAGCTGTGAAATATATTTGGGATAATACACATGTAAAATTATAGAATATACATGAAAAATTACATCTGTGTTGATATATATTTGTGATGTTATAAAACATATGTAATAAATGTATCTGTGTCCAAGATCATACAAACATTCAACATTCATATATATATATATATATATATATATATATATATATATATATATATATATATATATATATATATATATATATATATATATATATATATATATATGAAACAAAAGAAAAAGTCTCAAAAGTCTTTAAAAAGAAAAATCCAAAAAAGTGAAGACAGTTTTTCTGTCTTGGTCCCTCAGCTCCTCAACATATCCAATCTCCCGCCAATGTTATTCTTCATCTCCTCTACAGACTTTCCGCCAACAGATGTGCAGTAGGACACGCCTGCAGTGTGTGGCCAGTGTCCAGCCGCTTGGGCTGACCACATCAGCTGCAGGCGGGCTGTCTTTGATGGTGGAGCCTGCACGCTAGCAGCAGCTGCAGCAGTAGCCTCTGCTACCTTCCTCTATGAAGGAAGCCTACCTAGGCATAGACATTCTCTTAATTATCTTTGGGACTCATAACTTCAAATAAAAGTTTTCAAATTCTTGCAGTGAGCTTTTATTGTGAAGTTCCTTTCTTTACATGTCCATGTGTACAGCAGGTTGTTGTTAACACATTTAGATTGTTGGTATTCTTGTCGGATCATTTATTTACTGAAGAAAAGAGCTTGGTCCCTCAGCTCCTCGACGCATCCAATCTCCCGTCCTTTTCAGGTGTAGATAGCACATCTTTGGGCTTTACAGGAAAACAGGAGCGTGGGTGAGGAAATTAATAAACCACTGAGGACGAAGGTTAGAAATAGTGTGACAGGACAGAAATCCCAACAACAAACCAGGTGTGGTTCACAGGTAAACAGCCAGCAAACGTGGAGCGAAAACCACGTGTGAGGAGAAACTGCTGCTGAGCAGCAGGCGGTGGAGTGGATTTTATACAAGCCACATTTATTACACGTTAGAGAACATCACACACATGTTTGAGTTCAGCAGTGTCACCGGTTCATTATTGGGTTTCTTCATCGACTCCACAGAACTAAGGTTCTCTGTCTAAAGTCCACAATGACTTTATTAATCCCAGAAGGAAGTTAAGTGTTGTCTTAACTAATTCTTCAAAGCAGTCATTAAAATAAATACTAGTAATAATAATGAGCTCAGTTGGAAATCTGAGTGGTTAAAGACGCTGAAGGCTGTGGGCAGGAAGACCTCCTTCAGCAGCTCTGAAGATGCTTGTTGCATGAAGACTTAACTGCCAACTGAGGTTATGGTGAAAGATTAGTTTATCATATATATCACAGCTCAGAGGACATTTCAGTTGAAACAAAATCCAGCTTTGGATGCTCAGAACCCGTAATTCTCAAAACTGGAACAACAGTCATTTGATTGTTCAAAAGTCCCCTTCGCTGCCTTGAACCGCTCCTTTGGTTGCCTCTCCCGGTATCTGCTAGGGTAGACGATCCGTTGTTTGTCACGCTCTGGCAGGCGTTGCCAAAGCGTGATGAGTCCGTTTTACGTCCCTTGGCTTCGCTAGGAGCACGATGGAGGGAGTAAAGAAAGGTATGTACGTGAATGAAACAAACTCATTTAAAACTCTTAGAAGGAAGTTTATTAAAACAAACAGCACTCTGGGCTGAAAACGGAAACAAAAAGGTCATCCAAATGCTGGGTATAAACAACGAAAGGGATTTCTAACTAATTAAACGATTTAATAAACAAAAGCGCAGCGCAAAAGGGCTGGAATAAAGGTACACGGAATAATACAAAAGCTGCACCAAAAGGGTGAGCAAAGTCTCTCATTAAATGAGGACTCACAAACTACTATCAATATAACCAAAAATACCACTCAGGCAGCGAAACTAGAACCACTAAGGTGTCAAAACAATAAGTACCACTCAGGTAATGAAACTGGAAGTACCACTCAGGTAACACACAAGACTTTAACGTCTTGAACAAGGAGAGAGAGGAGCGTTAACACCTCCGTGCCAATGCCCAACTGATGTCTCTCTCAGAATGAGAGCTGCCTTTTAACAGGGAGGCCCAATTAATCCAACAGCCTGCAACTGTGCAGGCAGAGTACTGAGGCCCTCTAGTGGCCAGAAAGTGACAGTGTCTGTCACAGTCTGTCTACCCTGCTGTCAGACAGCCCCTGGAGACTCCTGAGCTCCACCAGGGGCTGAGCCAGCTTCAGGACATGCTGGTATCCTGGCTGGCCGTCAGGACCCTGGATCTCCTTCTGAGAAACAAAGAAAATCTGAATTATCTCTGAATACATGAAAAAACAAAATTAGGTGGGTCAGCTGTGAAATGATTAGCAGATGGGGGATCAAAGACCTCTGAATCAGAGGAGTGATTTTCTACAGGAGTCTGGCTTCCAGGGACGTCGGGAGGGGCGGCAGGATGTGCTGGCTCAGACCCGGGTGCGACAGCTGGACCCCCTGACCGGGCTGCTCCTGAAGTGCTGGTCAAGGACGAAGGCGGCGACAAAGTCGCCCACGTCCTCCTGGATGCCCTCGTCCAGGTCGATGACGGCAGCAGCCTTGTCCCGAGCGTCAGGGTCCACGCTGACGTCCTCAAGCACGCGGCCTGTCTGCTGGAACAGGTACTCCACCCCGATGAGCTCACCTGAGATTTTGTGGAAATGTAAACGGTTCAAAGCCCTTCTTAGCAAAGTATTGGTGCACAGTGTCATTAAACATCACGAGTAAATAAAACGTGTTTCTCTGTTCCTCTACCTGTGTAAGCAGCAGGCTTCACCATCTGATGACCAAGCACCCTTTGGCTCTTCTGGTTAGGGGCGTGTCTGAGGTGGCCACTGTAGGACAGCAGAGGCGCCTCGTGTCCCTCAGCTGCCGCTGCGCGGTCCTCGTTCCACCTGACCAGTCCCTCAATCAGGAACGCCTGGAAGTACTTGGCACTGGCCGACGTTCCTGCGTGATTAGATGAGAAAATCAGCTTAAGCTTTTACTGACACCTGAAAATGAACAGTTTACAGAAATGTATTTGGGTGTCTGATTGTTTTAAATTTTTCAGAAAGACATTGTTTAGAAATTCAGGTGACCTGGTGATCCATTAAAGTAATTCACAACAAAATAACGAATCATTGCTATGAAAAATTAAATAAACAACTAAACAAGTCAGTCAGCAACGATGCAAGTTTATACCGGAAATAAGGCAGCCATCTTGGACACGCCGTCCTGTCTGCAGCAGTCGCGGTCCACGTAGATGAGCTGGGGGGCAGGTCCACGTAGATGAGCTGGGGGGCAGGTACCTCGGCCAATCGGTACCGCCTCATCAGTCCGGCCGCCATCTTGGACAGGCCCTCGGAGCCCTCGCAGCAAGTGAGGACGCTCATGAGGACCTGGCCGTGCTCGTTGCCCACGTTGGTAGCCCAGGCGGCTGTGCCAGAGGCGGCACCTGCGAGCTTCTTCTGTCACCTGCACACAGAGAACTTCCTGCGTAAAGACCAGCAGAACTGTTGTTCACAAGCAGCAAGTAAACACAACGCGGTGACCGACCTTCTTTGTGGAATCCATCTTTAGGATGGATCCGAAGGTGGACGTGATCCTGGCCTTGAACTCGTCCAGCCGCATCAGCACGTCGTAACCGTAAACGGTCAGCAGCCAGACGGGTGAGGGCACAGGGGGCATCTGGGGAGGTGGTGCGATCTGCCCCCTCGTGGTACCCAAGGCCAGGAACTGCTCGCAGACGCCGAGGTACTGAATCGCTCTCTGCATCCAGGCGTCGGAATGCTGCTCCCGCAGGGTGTTGCACAGCTGAGTGGCACTGATGCCCAGAGTGTGAGATCTCAGCATAGCAACCACCCTCTGGTCACAGGACAGCCTGCGTGAACAAAACAAACATTACCACTTTAAACTCTGCTGGACACACCCGCACGAGCACACAGTTTCACTCTTCTCATACTTGTCACTCGTGTGAGGAGAAACTGCTGCTGAGCAGCAGGCGGTGGAGTGGATTTTATACAAGCCACATTTATTACACGTTAGAGAACATCACAAACATGTTTGAGTTCAGCAGTGTCACCGGTTCATTATTGGGTTTCTTCATCGACTCCACAGAACTAAGGTTCTCTGTCTAAAGTCCACAATTACTTTATTAATCCCAGAAGGAAGTTAAGTGTTGTCTTAACTAATTATTCAAAGCAGTCATTAAAATAAATACTAGTAATAATAATGAGCTCAGGTGGAAATCTGAGTGGTTAAAGACGCTGTGGGCAGGAAGATCTCCTGTGTTACAGCAGCTCTGAAGAGGCTTGTTGCATGAAGAGGATGCTCAGTGTTGTCTATAATATTGATTTTATGAAAAATCCTTCTTTGCACCATCATCTCCAGTGCATGGTTCTCAGTCGTCTCCAGAACAGAACCAGCCTTTTTTGCCAGGTTGTTGAGCCTTTTTAGGTCCCTGCTGGCTCTGATGCTGCTGCCCCAACAGCTGGTGGCCCATAGATCTCAACAGACCTGTAAAAGATCTGCAGCCTCTTGCTGCAGACCTTGAAGGATCTAAAATATTATTCAAGATATAGTCTACCCTGTCCCTTCTTGGAGATGGCTTCACGCTTGTGTCTCCAGTCCAGTCTGTTGTCCAGATGAACACCGAGGTATTTGTAATCTTCCACCACCTCCCCCATCTCCCCAATAATGCACGTTGAGCTATTCCCATTTCTTTCTAAATCATCTCATTTGTTTTGTTCACATTCAAGATTATGTGAGTGTCCCCACACCACGCCACAAAGTGGTCCACCAGCTCTCTGTACTCTTGACCCTAACCCTAACCCTGGGGACGTGGTGAAAGATCATTTCACACTACTCTCCTCCTCCTGAGGCCAGAAGAAAATACTACCATATCTTAAACATCGCTTGTAAGACAACAAACTGTTTTTTTAACATGTTAAAAGTCTAATTGTTGTTTTAAAGTAACAATTGTACGTCTCAGTCAGTTCAGTAGCGGAGGAACGTCAGCTCGGAGTGAAAGAGGATCTATTTCAGAGTTGAAACAATCCAGCTCTCTGGTTAGATGCTGAAAACCCTTGCTTCTCTAACTTGGAACAACCCAGTCATTTGATTGGTCAAATGTTGGAACTGAGCAGGGGGACACGCTCCTAACTGCTTCATAACAGTGTCATTTAGGGTTATTATGTTATTCAAAAAGAAAAATGAGGAACGCTTCACGAATTTGCGTGTCATCCTTGCGCAGGGGCCATGCTAATCTTCTCTGTATCGTTCCAATTTTAGTATATGTGTTAGCGAGCTAACACGACGAAAGAGCGATTCCTGAGCTGCATTCAAGTGTTCAATGTTCGGGCTGTGTAGTAACTTACGGTGCTGATCACAGGACCCAGATGCATTATGGGAGAAGTGGGCGGACCAAACGGAAGCGCCGGTGTTCTGATAAAACGTCCTACTTTGACAAAACGTCCTACCCGTAGGATAATTTTACGGTGTCCTCTGATAAAACGTCCTACTTTGACAAAACGTCCTACTGAACGTAATTTATGCACATTTCTGCTGCCAAACAATAATTCCAGCACAAATTTAAGTACAGGTGCTGGCCAGTAAATTAGAATATCATCAAAAGGTTGAAAATATTTCAGTAATTCCATTCAAAACGTGAAACTTGTACATTATATTCATGCAATGCACACAGACCAATGTATTTCCGATGTTTATTACGTTTAATTTTGATATTTATAGGTGACAACCAATGAAAACATCAAATCTGGTATCTCAGAAAATTAGAATATTCTAAAGGCCAATGAAAAAATGTTTGTTTCTCTAATGTTGGCCAACTGAAAAGAATGAACATGAAAAGAATGTGCATGTATAGCACTCAATACTTAGTCGGGGCTCCTTTTGCCTCAATAACTGCAGTAATGCGGCGTGGCATGGACTCGATCAGTCTGTGGCACTGCTCAGGTGTTATGAGAGCCCAGGTTGCTCTGATAGTCGTCTTCAGCTCCTCTGCATTGTTGGGTCTAGCGTATTGCATCCTCCGCTTCACAATACCCCATAGATTTTCTATGGGGTTAAGGTCAGGCGAGTTTGCTGGCCAATCAAGGACAGGGATACCATGGTCCTTGAACCAGGTGCTGGTGGTTTTGGCACTGTGTGCAGGTGCCAAGTCCTGTTGAAAGGTGAAGTCTGCATCCCCATAAAGTTGGTCAGCAGCAGGAAGCATGAAGTGCTCTAAAACTTCCTGGTAGACGGCTGCATTGACCCTGGACCTCAGGAAACAGAGTGGGCCAACACCGGCAGATGACATGGCACCCCACACCATCACTGACGGTGGAAACTTTACACTGGACCTCATGCAACGTGGATTCTGTGCTTCTCCGCTCTTCCTCCAGACTCTGGGTCCTTGATTTCCAAAGGAAATGCAGAACTTGCTTTCATCAGAAAACATAACTTTGGACCACTCAGCATCAGTCCAGTCCTTTTTGTCCTTGGCCCAGGCGAGACGCTTCTTGCGCTGTTTCATGTTCAAGAGTGGCTTGACACACGGAATGCGACACCTGAATCCCATGTCTTTCATGAGTCTCCTCGTGGTGGTTCTTGAAGCGCTGACTCCAGCTGCAGTCCACTCTTTGTGGATCTCCCCCACATTTTTGAATGGGTTTGTCGTCACAATTCTCTGCAGGGTGCGGTTATCCCTAGAGCTTGTACACTTTTTTCTACCACATTTTTTCCGTCCCTTCGCCTGTCTGTTAATGTGCTTGGACACAGAGCTCTGCGAACAGCCAGCTTCTTTAGCAATCACCTTTTGTGTCTTGCCCTCCTTGTGCAAGGTGTCAATGATTGTCTTTTGGACAGCTGTTAAGTCAGAAGTCTTCCCCATGATTGTGGTGCCTTCAAAACAAGACTGAGGGACCTTTTAAAGGCCTTTGCAGGTGTTTTGAGTAAATCAGCTGATTAGAGTGGCAGCAGGTGTCTTCTATATTCAGCCTTTTCAGAATATTCTAATTTTTTGAGATACCAAATTTGGAGTTTTCATTAGTTGTCACTTATGAATATCAAATTTAAATGTAATGAACATTGGAAATACATTGGTCTGTGTGCATTGCATGAATATAATGTACAAGTTTCACGTTTTGAATGGAATTACTGAAATATTTTCAACCTTTTGATGATATTCTAATTTACTGGCCAGCACCTGTAGGTATGACAGTTTACCACTTAACTTTGCCAGAGTATGTTTGTAGCTGATATTCATAAAGCCAGTACGGTTTGACACTTTTTACCCATTAAAGTGTGCTTGTAGGTCATATTCACAAAGGTAGCATGCTTTGGCACGTAATTTTTATGCTTCTAGTTTATAATAACAAAGGTAGCATGGTTTGGCACATAATTCTTATGCTTGTAGTTTATAATAACAAAGGTAGCATGCTTTGGCACTTAATTTGTATGCTTGTAGTTTATAATAACAAAGGTAGCATGCTTTGGCACGTAATTTTTATGCTTGTAGTTTATAATAACAAAGGTAGCATGCTTTGGCACGTAATTTTTATGCTTGTAGTTTATAATAACAAAGGTAGCATGGTTTGGCACTTGTTTGTAGAAGCAGTCTGCATGCCAAGGTGCTTAAGTTATACAGCTGTCACCATTGAAGTGATTGGAACACCTGACTATAAAAACTTTGACAATGAACTCACTCCATTATAGTTACAGTATATATTTACTGAATATATTTACAGATACATATATTTGACATTTATAGATCCAACAGAACACAGGGACAAAGAACTGAAAAAGAAATTTAATGTCAACTGTCATACCAAACCAGTAAAATCTGGAACACACTGCATTTAGCGTTTTGTGTGTGTGCCAGTGTGTCCTCCGATTGGAGATGAATGAAACTCATGAAAAATCTTCCTGGCATCATCCATGGTTTTTACTACTCTTCTGGTTCCAACAAAGAGTTCTCCATCTGCAGTAAAACAATATATATTTAGAATTTAATGTAACCACATATATGAGTTGTTAGGATTAACAATAAATTACTGACCCTTTTATTTGAATTTTGAGGCATATCTTCTGAGGTTTTGCCTCTGAGCCTTGTCATATCCTGAAGGGTAGGAGACCGCAGAGATGAATGTGTAAATGTCTTTCCAATTCTTCTCCATATCTATGAATGTAAGTAGACATTTTCTTCTGAGCTTCAATATGTGCAGTTAACAATGCAAATAATTTAACTTATTAAATAGCGACATTACCGAAACAGCCTTAAAACACCGAAGCTGCGGATTCAGAAGTGTTGTCCAAATACCACATGTCCAGTAACCACAGCAGACTTAACCAAAGCTGCAAATTCGACAGTTTTGTGCAGAAAGCAGATAGCGACTTTAATTTAATATTGACAAACAATCACAAAGGCTTAAATAAATCAATAAAAAGTACTAATACTTAACTACTTACCTATTTTCCTGCAAATCTGACAACGGAGTAGCATGAAATCACAGCCGGATGCGTTGTGCTTCCCTTTTTGTGTTGTGCGCATGCGCAAGAACGACGGGTAGGACGGTTTACGGGGTAAGAGAAATTCCCGGAACACCGGCTTTAACGTTGAGGATAAATGTGTTTAACTCATCTCAGAAACGCTATGAAAACACCGTGGCTCTAGCACTGCACACGTGATAACAATAACACCTAACTCGTTGTGTTACACTGAATATTTATGGTATTCGTTGGTTTTAGTCCCGCTGACCAACTTCTCAGCACTCTTAAAACAGTACACACACGATCTGTCTGGTCCATTATCAAGAAACCTGCTTGTTTTACTATATCGGTTGAATAAAACGCCTAACAGCTGTTTGCCCTCTTTTAATTACCCGAAGAGTAAAGGCTTATTCAAGTGGATTGTCGTAGGTGGAAAACAAACAAAATAAACTGTAATTGCGTTGACTAACCACCAGAGGTCGCGGTCAGACTGCTATAATTTCTGTTAAACAGTCAAACGAGCAGCATGGTGTTGCGTCAGCTCCTGTCGCAGAATTTATATTAACACTTTTAACCATGTCAAGCAAAACATTCACTACCATTCACTTTGTTTAACCAGTTCCCCTTTGACCGATTCTGAATAGTCAGACACTTATTTTACTGCATTTGACATGTTCTTACAATACTGGTTCATCACTACATGTTCATAAAATAATAAAACACTAATGGAACAAACTTAATAACATATTTCTACTCCACATGAGCTTTAAAATAATACAAAATATTTCTACTCCACATGAGCTTTAAAATAATATAAACGTAAACCACTTTAAATAACAACTCCTTCTCATCAACTACCTTGCCTATTTTCACTATTCACCTACATGAACAAAATAACCCTTCTTTCTCAGCAATGCCATTCGTTTTACATGGAGCACACAGGGTAAAATCCAAATAAACATGACGCAGTTAATGTGCCGCCATATCAACTTCGCCATGGGGCCGCGTGCCTACAGCTCATTAACCACACATTAAGAACAAAACTTCGCCAAAAACGATTAACACATCTTCACACGGTTTTCTCCCGTTTTCACCTGTTTATCGCTCTTATATGACGATACTAACCTGTTAAAACAGTCAAACGAGCAGACACGACATCAGTATGTGTTGCTGCGCCAGCTCCTCGTCTCAGAAGGAGGAAAAGCTAACGTCCGCTCCAAACTCTCGGTGGTCCCGGCCAAGTATCATACTGCCCTCTACTGGCATTAAGGTCATTACTTTTACAGAACAGTTGACAAAGACTAATAATAACAATGTCCTTAGACTCTATTTAAGTTTTTTTTTCTTTTCCTTTTAGCCTGGAATCCATTAAATATATATATATATTTTTTTCACACAGGAATACATTACATTCGATGGTTAAAGCATCAATATGAAAAATGTGACCACATCTTTCTGTGTGCGTCACATATTTCCCAACAAAAAAGAAAGAAAGAAGGCTCCTGGCATTGCAACACAACATAGAGTTAAACATCTGGATTCACACACAAAGGTTCAAATTCAGAGTGACATAACTGTCCCCCAACAAGGGCTAGCATGAGTGGTATATTGGCCACCAGGCAACACCAACTTGGCCATGGCCACATCAACTGAGGTGCTTGCAAAAGAAGGAAAAGTGCCTGAATATAATAAGGTTCTGCCCCTCCCACTTGTGAATACCCCCTCCCATCTGTAGATATAGAGTTCACCATATGTTTTGGCTAATAGGAGGGCTGTCCCAAAGACTCATAAGTCAACTGTTGAGCAGGCCTCCTCTCACGTGTAGATTTCCGAACAAAAGCTCTTTGATCCATGGACTGACCAGAGGCTGACTGGTTGGAACTGGTCAGATGATTTGAGGAGGGGTTTACCATCTGTGACCTTGTTGGACTTGAGCCTGCCTGAGTGTTGTTCAGCATTTGTGGTTGTGTCTCTGTTCCAAATTCTCCCTCTTGACTCCATGATGGACCAGCTGTTTCCTCATTAAAGAAGTCTCTCCCCGTTTCATTGCATGGTGTGCATTGATTGTGGCAATGGGCGTCCTCCATTTCCGGAATGACCTTATGAGGTGCATGGAAAGCTTCCTGCCTCGCAGGTATTCAAACCCAGTAACCCTCCTCCTCTTCATCTGAAGAAGACGACAGATCACTGTTCATGGACTGATTTCCTTTTCCTTTCCATGACCTTTCATTTCTGGTTTCCATGTGTGAAGGTGATTTGTTTTTGCCCTTGCCCTTTTTCAACCTCAGTGAAGGTGGTGACATGTCAATCGGTAAGTCATTCGCCAGATGTTGAAGGTTACGGTGTAATGTACGAGTTCCACCATTGCCCTTCTCTGGGGACACTTTGTACACAGGACTATTATTCATTTGTTCTTTCACCACATATACTGTGTCTTCCCAGTAGGACCTTAATTTTCCTGGACCAGCTCTCTCACTCAAGTTGCGCACGAGTACACTGTCACCTGATTGCAGAACCACTCCTTTCATTTGACGGTTATAATGTTGTTTCCCTCTGTCACTTGATAGTTGACTGTGTTCAGCGGCAACTTTGTAGGCTTGTTTCATCCTCGCAGCCCACTTTTCCACAAATCCCCTTAGAGATGTGGCTTCCTCCTGTAGTGTCAGACCAAAGAGGAGATCCACTGGCAAATGTGGGTGCCGTCCATACAATAAATCGAAGGGTGAATAGCCTGTTGATTCATGCCTTGTGCAATTGTAAGCATGAACCATTTGAGGTAAGTGCTCCTTGCATCTGGTCTTCTCTCTGTCTGTCAGGGTGCGAAGTAACTGTAAGAGTGTCCTGTTGAACCTCTCAGCCGGATTACCTTGGGGATGGTAAGGTGTTGTCCTAGAGTGGTCAACCCCCGAAAGCTGTTGCAGGGCCTTAAAAAGGTTATTTTCAAATTCCCGGCCTTGGTAGTGATGGAGTCTTTGGGGATAACCAAACCTTGGAATAAAGTCACTGAATACCCTCTCTGCTGCTGTCTTTCCTGATTTGTTGCGAGTGGGGTAAGCTTGAGCAAACCTTGTGAAATTGTCTACCACCACCAAGATATACTCATAGCCACCTACACTGGACTCCAGGTGCAAAAAATCAATGGACACCAGTTCCAGGGGGGACGCAGTGACGATAGAGCCCATGGGAGCCCTGACATGACTTACTGGTTTCTTTTTCTTCATACAGGGGCATTTCCTTGTTACATAAACCTCAATGTCTTTTTTCATGTAAGGCCAATAGAATCTGTCTCTGGCCAGACTGGTCACTCTTTGTGCTCCTACATGTCCCATTTCATCATGCAGGTATTTTATTGCTATCAGTTTATATTTTTCAGGCACAACCAACTTTCGTCTCTGTACCGTCTTTCTATATAGTAACCCATCTTCAATGTGTAGCCTTTCCCACTCATGCAACAGTCTCTTCACTGGACCACTCATAGCCTTCTTGGTGTGACGTGTGAGTTGTGTGTTTTGTTCTTTCAGTTTGATGATTTCACCGATTACTTTGTCCTCTCTTTGTGCTTGTCTTAGCTCTTCATGGCTTATGGAAGACTGAGTTCCCAGCGTGCAGGGCTCCAAGCCTTGATGCGAAAGGTCCAGGATAGCCACAAAAGCCACATCTTTGTCTCTGGAAGCCTGGGTCCCTTCCCATGTTGCTTGAATGGTCTCTCTCGAAAGGGTCTCTGAGCATTCATCCACATATTTACTAATGTCATGAGGCAACCTAGAGAGGGTGACCGCATCACCGTTGGCTTTGCCTGGACGGTATTTGATTTCAAAGCGGAAATCAGCCAACTCTCCAACCCATCTGTGGCCTACAGCGTTTAGTTTGGCTGTGCTCATGACATAAGTCAGGGGGTTGTTGTCTGTGTATACCAAAAAAGAAGGAGCATAGAAGAGGTAATCGCGGAACTTCTCACATACCGCCCACTTTAAGGCGAGGAATTCCAGTTTCCCGGAATGCATGTGGTACCTCTTCTCTGCGGGAGACAGTGTCTTCGATCCATATGCAATGACTTTCAGGTTTCCATCTTGGCGTTGATACAACACAGCTCCAAGGCCTTCGGCCGATGCATCTGTGTGTAATACAAAAGGGCAGTCAAAGTTGGGATAAGCTAGCACAGGTGGAGTGGATAAGATGTGGATTAGTCTGTCCAGAACATGCTGGTGTTCCTGAGTTCACTGAATAGGGACTTTTGAAGAAAGCTGTCCAGCTTTTCCTTTACTGGTTTTCTGCTGAGGGTGAACGGCATGGTTCCCTTTGATCTGCAATAAATCATACAGTGGTTTGGCAGTTCTTGCAAAGTCCTGCACGTAAGCTCTCTTGTAACTCAGAAAACCTAACAGTTTTCGGACACCTCCAACTGTAGTTGGTGTCTTTTCCCTGAGGGCTTGGACTGCTTCTATGTCTTTCGGGTCAACACGCACACCCTCGGCTGACACCAGCCTTCCAACATAGCGCACTTCCTTCCTGAATAACTTGCATTTGGTAGGTCTGAGTTTTATGCCATGTCGTCGAAGAGCCCTTAAGACCTTCCTTAGCCCTTCCACATGGTCCTCAAAAGTCTTGGCATAGCAAAGCACATCATCCAGATAGGGACTGCAGCACTCATCTCTTAAGGAGTCCAGGACTTCCTCCATACACCTCTGAAAAGCTGCTGGGGCATTTGACAGGCCAAAAGGAATGCGGACATAGACCCCAGGGGGTTATAAAAGCAGTGAGGTGCCCGGATCCCTCGGAGATGTAGCCCTGGTGATACGCCTTCCCTTGGTCTAATATAGAGAACCAGTGGTATCCCCCTAGTGTGTTCATTTGGTCCTGGATTCGGTAGTGGATGTCGATGTGGAATGGTCTTACGATTTAAAAGGCGATAGTCAACGCAGAGCCTCAGTGTGCCATCCTTTTTCTGCACACAGACTACAGGAGCAGAGTATGGTGATTCGGATTTAACTATCCAATTCCTGGCTAGCAAATCTTGAATGTATTCTTTAACTTCTTTGTAAAGAGGTTTAGGAATGGCCGAATAGGAGCGGTGTACCGGTATGTCGTCTTTTAAACTGATTGTCATTCGTAGATTTGAAATGCAGCCAATATCGGTGTCATTGAGAGCAAAAGCTTTGGATTCCTCCAACAATATCTGTCTCACAACAACTTGTTTCTCGGACTTAGATGACTGATGTCGACTGGAGGGTGCCAACCTGCTGCTGTGTCTGTGTTGTTATCTCCACTGATTGTGGGTTGTGTGTCAGTTCTAGTTGTCTGGTCAGTTTCAATAATCTTTTCAATGCACTGGATGTTTCCTAGCATTGTGCGATGAGGTAAGATAATTTCATGCTTTGTTATATTGCCCACTGGAATGTCAACAAAGGGTTTTTCTGTGTGATGTACTTCAACTAGACCATCTCCCACATCCAGCCGCTCAACCTGATCGTAATCAGTGCAAAGTTCAAACAGAGCAACCGACTGGGTGAAGCTAACAGGCACTGGAAACTTTATAATAGCTATTTGCCCTTGCTTAAGAACAAAATCATGATGGCCTATCGTTACTGCCACCTCTTCAGATGTGTTAGCTCCCCTTTCTGCGTTAGTAAAGTTGCTATCAGCTAGCAGACAAGACCACAACAACATAAAAAGGTTAAACAACACGGATGTCCCTCTTGCATTGAACAGAAGCTTGCTAATTGTCAAGGTAAGTATTTCTGCTTCCAGGCTCTGTCCACAAGACTAACCTGGGTGCCCGTGTCAAGCAGAGCTGTCACGGCGTAACCATTCATGTTACACTTTAGCAGACATTTTTTTCCAATTAACTGTGCCACTCTTTCAGATGTAGGCTCGTCAGTGGCAGACATGTTGGTAAAACACGTTTGCTGCTGGCACTGTGGAATTTGTTTAGTATTGTTACCATTTGATTGGGACTGCATGTTGTCCTCGATCACAGGTCGCCCCTCACATGTGACCTTTGTTGGTTTCCCGACTGCTTGCAGTTTAGGCAGCCTAACGCACAATGCCCTTCTTCACCACATGAAAAACTGTGTTGACAATTAGCAAGCTTCTGTTCAATGCAAGAGGGACATCCATGTTGTTTAACCTTTTTATGTTGTTGTGGTCTTGTCTGATAGCTGGCACAATAACAAGACTCCAGTGGTAGAGCCTGGGGTCGCGTATCAGTTGGTTTTGGCTGTGTCAGCGATTCCACTAGTTGTGTTAATGCATGCACCTGTGCACTCAGCTTCTGCATGTCTTCATCCTTACTTCTGGAGTGGGGGTCCTCTTTACTGTCTCCCAACTTCCCTGAAGTCACCTGCCCCCTCTGTGCATAAGCGTATTTGGCACGTGGGTTACGCCCAAGGCGCCGTCTTCTTTCGCTCTCTTCGCCGGTTGTTCTGATGACTTGTCTTAGAAGGGCGTCATCTGAAACAGACTTTTCTGAGAGGAGAGGTTTTAACTCACGCCTTATATCTTCGTGTTTTTCACTTAAACCCTGATAAACTGTGTGCAGAAACACATTCTGTACAGTTTCTGCTTCATATATAATCTCAGTGTCTTTCTGTTTTGATGTGAGTATCAGCCACTGTTTCAAACCCACCATACGATGTAGAAACTGTTGTGGTGTTTCATGTTCAAGCTGCTTAGCTGTTATCAGTTCTTGGAAGAGTTCTGTGGTGCCCTTTTCCCCCATATGCAGTCTCAGAAAGCTCTTTAGTTCATTTATAGACATCTCATCTTTACTTATTAACACGTCCTTGAAGTGTCCAGGTTTTATGATCCGCAACACTGCACGAATCACTTCACTTTGTGTGTATTGTTCCTTTAATCCTTCATCAATTTGTTTACTGATGTTATTATAGCTAATGTCCGTCACACTATCACCTATCTGGCCACCATGTATCTTGAACTCTTTTCGGTGGAACATGGCCATATCTCTCAGGACAGCGAAATTTTCAATCCCACAGGGTGGTTTGTCATATAGAGAGGGTAGTGGCGTTGGGGCTCCACCATCAGACGGTGTGGTAGTTTCTCCATCACCAGTCTGATTATTGGTAGAACGTGTAACCTTAGCAGATGGGTTAGCCTATCTAGTTTATGATGTGTGTGGCACTCCTAAACAACATATTTTAAAGACAGTAAATACGATAGACCTTGATCTTCTAACTCAAGTAAGAGTGATGAAGACATATATGAACAAATATAATCAAAGCAACCCCCTTCATCTTCTTTATCCAAGCTAGCCGGGTTAAAACGTGTTTCTCTGTTCGTCTACCTGTGTAAGCAGCAGGCTTGGTGAAGTCCTTAACCATCTGATGACCAAGCACCCTTTGGCTCTTCTGGTTAAGGGCATGTCTGAGGTGGCCACTGTAGGACAGCAGAGGCGCCTCGTGTCCCTCAGCTGCCGCTGCGCGGTCCTCGTTCCACCTGACCAGTCCCTCAATCAGGAACGCCTGGAAGTACTTGGCACTGGCCGACGTTCAAGTGTGATTAATTATAAAATCAGCTCAAGCTTTTACTGACACCTGAAAATGAACAGTTTACAGAAATGTATTTGGGTGTCTGATTGTTTTAAATTTTTCAGAAAGACATTGTTTAGAAATTCAGGTGACCTGGTGATCCATTAAAGTAATTCACAACAAAATAACGAATCATTGCTATGAAAAATTAAATAAACAACTAAACAAGTCAGTCAGCAATGATGCAAGTTTATACCGGAAATAAGGCAGCCATCTTGGACATGCCGTCCTGTCTGCAGCAGTCGCGGTCCACGTAGATGAGCTGGGGGGCAGGTACCTCGGCTAATCGGTACCGCCTCATCAGTCCGGCCGCCATCTTGGACAGGCCCTCGGAGCCCTCGCAGCAAGTGAGGACGTTCATGAGGACATGGCCGTGCTCGTTGCCCACGTTGGTAGCCCAGGCGGCCGTGCCAGAGGCGGCACCTGCGAGCTTCTTCTGTCACCTGCACACAGAGAACTTCCTGCGTAAAGAGGCGTCGGGTCCAGTGTGGTGCAATGTCCAGGGTCGACCACGGACACTTCGGCGTCCGGATTGGCTGCTCGTCCAGGGTGCGACTCTGGACATCGCCTCCCGGTTGGCTGCTCGTCCGAGGTCGACTCTGGACATCGCCTCCCGGTTGGCTGGGAGTGAAACTGACGTTCCGTCTTCTGATTGGTCGGCTCGACTCGACTCGACTCGGCTCCTCGCGTGCGCCTTCGGATTCCCAGCAAACATTCCGGTGCCGGCGACCCGAGCGCGCGTTGGATACGTCGACACCGTTACCTGCGGGAAAATACACAACTACGTGTTTTAAAAAGGTCAGTTCTAAACTTTTCATCGTAAGTTACCCGCGATTAGTGTGTGTCATTGTGTTTTAACCGAGTTTTTACCCGTTCGAACTGATATCATCACAGAACAGGCGAAGGGGCTGGGGGGATGAGGCCAGAAAACAATAAAACAACAAACTTTTCTTTTAAGGTTGAGTTACAATCGTACCTAAAAATGGTTAAACCATTTTTTTCTACGATCTACGATCCGATCTGGTAATATTTAAGTAGCGAAAATGCTAGTAGCATTTATGCTAGTTAAATATTGATAAGATTAAAAAAATAAACTCGTTTTAATCACTCCACGTGATGTTGCATGCTGCTTTTTGTCTCTTTCAAAGCTGTTGGTGCTTAGATCGTTCAGGTTAGTCTTTATTTAGCTTTCAATGACTATATGACCATGCATATGTCAGTCATAACACAAGTGCGTCTTGTGGTTCATCGTAAAGTGTTTATATCATAATCTGGTTGTTAAACAATTGTCCAACAAGCTCCGGGCACAATGGATGCAGAGAGGCAGGGATTCAGGGCTGCACTGGTGGGTGAATTTTGGGAGTAGTAGTAGCCTAAAGATGCATTTTTGTTATGCATGACTTATTGACTGTCTCAGTCAAATATAACAGTTGTTTCATGAAACAGGATGTAAACAACTTTCTGTGCACAGGTCTGGAGATGACATCACCAGTGATTCGCATAGTCAACCCAGGAGCTCCCCTGAATCGCCAGCAACCCGTACTCCTGGCCACCAAGGAGTCTCGCCTTTATAGGGACAAAAAGCTGTGGTTTCCTGTGCCCCATCCAGAGCTGTTGTACCAGGCCACTGCCCTCGAGTGTGCAGAGAAGCTCCTCAGAGCCGACGGCGTCTCTTCACCAACGCGACAGCAGCGTCTGGGGAAGCTGGTGTTTGGAGACCTGTTGGGGTCTGGAGATGCTCCCTGAAGTGTCCGCGTGGAGATGGGTGCGCGGGGAAAGGACGTGACGTGCACCTGTACAAATCTGGCTTCCATCACCGGGTATTTGTCTCATCATCAGATATTAACACAATATGTGACTTTTCACAAAAACCAAAGTGTGAAACAACGATTTGAAAATAAATGTCATTTTCTCCCATCTGTCCCACAGGTACGCCACATCTGTGACGTGTCCAGCTGGTACACAATGCTGACTGAGGTGCTGTGCTGCGGGCCGTGCACCAAGGCTGCAAGAGCTGGAGATGGCGGCACCGTGGGACGGTGGCTTGCGTGGGACCCTGCTATTTTGTCCCAGCTTAGTGAGGCTCACCAAGCTGGTTTTCCTGCCGTGCTCACGGCTAAGTGAGTGTGGTCTCCATCTGTTTGTCTTGGTCGTATGTTTTATCTGAAAGGAAACTAAAGTCAGCTGAAGTCATCTAAATCCAATCATTTTCCTGTCTCTGCTGGTGTGCCCCTGGGGCCCCTTCTTTTCTTCATTTACCTTCTCCCACTAGGTCACATTTTCCGTAAACACGACATTCATTTTCATTGTTAACGTGGGTGACACCCAGCTCTACCTCTCAACTAAACCCTCAACTTCACTCCCACCTTCCTCCCTTACCCTCTGTCTCCAAGAAATCCATTCTTGGTTCACTTCCGACTTCCTCAAACCGAACAGTTCTAAAACTGAAGTCCTCCTGGTAGGTAGGCACACCTCACGTTCTCTCTACATCTAACAGTTTCCCCATCTCTACTGATAACTCAGCAGTTACTCCCTCCCCTCATGTTAAGAGTCTGGGCGTCATCCTCGACAGCACTTTCTTTTCAATCTCACATCAACAATATTACCCGGTCTGCTTATTTTCACTTGCGTAACATCTCCCGCCTCCGTCCATCACTTACTCCCTCCACCACCCGCAGGATGGTCCAGAACCTGATGAAGAGGTGCTTCAGCCTGGACAGCCAGAACAGGAAGAGACCGACGAGGTTTATCACAGCGATGCAGAGGATGGAGCCCTGGATGCTGACCTGCCCCACATCGCTTTCACCAACAATGAGACGGCGACTGTGCACCACCCAGCTTTTGTAAGCACTTCATTCATTTGATTTTGGTCACTATTGGATATTTAGTGGTTTATTTTAACGAAAAATGTGTGTTTTTTCCACAGGACGACGTCTGCAGTGCAAACCCCCTCCCTGGCTTCCAGCAGCTGGAAAGGCTCTGCTCTGTTCTTGTGTACGTTGGGCTGACGGAGAACAAGCTCTCTGTCACCACTAAGGCAAGGGATGGCATCCTCAAAGCCTGGAATGCTGTGGAGGAGCACGACAAGCAGCCGCAGCAGTTCACTCAGCTGTACAGGAGTCACTGGGGAAACACTTTGTACTGCAGGACAAAGAGGGACGACCTGGTTGAAGCTGCTGTGGTGCAGAAACTAAAGATGTCTAAACGCTACACACCAGCACACAAGATCAGCGCTCAGCACAACAGACTGATGTACACGCTTGTGAAGATGCTGTGGCTGCGTTTGTCCCACGGGTCAAAGAAAAGCCCAGAGAAGACGGCCATCCTGAAGGCGTACGAGCAGGTGCAGCACCGGATTCTGGTAGAGGACCCTGTTCTGAGCAGAGTGGGCATTCCTCTACCAAAAATCAATTCAAAAACGGTGCATGAATTCATATCTCATCAAGAGAGACTCGTCAGCTTCCACGCCACCAGACAGCCAGCCACCGTCACCAAGCTGACTTCCATCTCAGCGGCTGACATTCCTCCGGCACCTCCTCAGCCTGCCGTCCTCCCTCCGCCGAGTTACCCCGTGATGGACTATAAATTCACAGAGACTCCAAAGGCGATACCGCTGCTGTTTAGTTTCTGTTGTACTTGGTACAGTTGAGCTCTGCAGAGCCGGTTGGAGCTAGCTTGATTTGCACAGACGCAGATGCACTGCAGCTGTCATTTTATTTAAAGGAGACATAACATGCTTTTAAGTTATTCCTTTTTACATCTAAATCCTTCAGTTGGGGTCTAAATACAGTGGAACTGCAGTTCTTTGGTCTGATTTCCTCATTATTGTTGCTCTACAGACCCTCATCTACCCCTGTTCTGAGGAGAGTCTTGAGAACGAGCCGTTTTTGGGTACTGTCTCTTTAAACTGGAGGAGGAGCTGTAAACTCCGCCCCCCTCCATAGTGCAGACCTGTACTCTCCTCCCCCAGTCGGACTTTGTAGTTCTATAGAGAAATCATTATTTAGCATAGCATATTAGCATTTTTAAAACACGTGGGGAGAGTAGTTCATCAAGCTGTTTCATGGCTGCTAACTCTCTCATGCATTTGTCTGTAGTCACTCACACACACCCGTGACCGTCACTGCCGACGGAGGGACAAGCGAGCAGGCACACGCGCGCGCGCGCACACACACACACACACACACACACACACACAAGGAATGCTGCTTGCTTATTTCTGTAAAAAATGTTTAAAAAAATGATACAGCTCATTAAAACACCATTCAAAGAATATATTTTATTAAGATCTCTATCTATATACATACATATAATTATAAATAATTTTATAAGTAGTCTTATTTTATATTGGGTGTCTTAATGGCTGAAAATGGATAAAAAGCAGTTACATTTTAATTTAAAGATTTGAGATTCTAGTCAAAAATAAAGAACATTCCTCCAAATGTTCTTTAATGTGATCATTATAATTCTAATGCTTACAACTTTGTTTTTATTGTCTGCAATGTGTAGCCTATATCTTTATTAAATGTGTTTAGCTGTAAAGTGGTAATTCTCTCTAATGTGTACACAGAGGTGGACATCAGTGCTGCAGTGAAACTCCCAAGATCAGTCTGCTTTGCTAACAAATATAGTTAAATCTTACCTGCATTCTAAATAAATACCGTTAGGTGAATACATCAGTAGGCATTGAGTTATTGATACAATCCCTAACAGCCAGAATGGAAGAAGAGCATGCTGGGTCATCCTGGATCTGAGCCTGTTCTGTGTATTTACCTACAGGATGCAATAAATGTCTACAAGGTGGAGTTTGGACCATTACATCTAAAAGAAAACATACAATCAGTGATTTTTTTTATTGTTTACATTAATATACAAATTTTCTAAGTATTAACCTCACAGCAAATAAGTAGAACAATATAATAAACAGGCTTTAGTAGTTAAAACAGGCATTGTGCACACAGGTGCTTTGTGTCTCGGTGCTGGTGGTGTCTAGGTCTCAGAGTTCCTGTCCTCCTGCCGTCTTCTGTTGTCCTCAGGATACGGATTGATGTTTCCTGATGATGAGGGAGGGGCAGTATGTGGGCTTCAAACTGGTCCTGGACAACAGTGGGAGACCTCCGTTGTCTGAATACTGAGACCAGAGGGTTGGTGAGATGCAGATCTTCTCTACCTCATCTAGAAACGGAGTTGGTTCAGGGAAAACTTTTCCAAAGACCAGTTCCATGATGTCATCGCCATATTCTGCAATGATAGACAATAACTTTAATGACATATTTTGTTTACAAGCAGCTTTAGGAAAGTTGTTTCTTTAGCTTTCATGTTTATAGTCACGTTTGTGTTTGTTCACAAGTTCACTTTGCTGCAGTGACTTCATATTCTTACAAATGTAACAAAATAGTGACACTAAAATAGGGTTGTCACGGTATGAAAATTTAACCTCACGGTTATTGTGACCAAAATTATCACGGTTTTCGGTATTATCGCGGTATTTTTAAACGGTGTTGCATATGTTCAGAAAGCATTGATAGTCCTGTTCTACACAAACTGAAATAGTTTTGAAAAGGTTTAACAGTGTTTATTAAACCTAAAATAACACAAAGCCTTAGCAAAAGTGCAACTTTTCACAAGTAAAGGAACAAATAGCTTCTTTTTCTGGAACTTGTTACAGTAGTCAGTGCAGGTTTAAATTATACAAATCCAAACATTCAAAACATAAACAATATGTAAACAAATCAAAGAAACACCACTTGTTTTCTCATATACTTGTTTTATTCATTATCAAAATGAAAATCTAAAACTCCAGTCCACACTTGACTTGAGCACTGTACAAGTCAACCTTAAAAAATATGTATTTAAAATAAATAGCCACTTTAAACAAATTACTAAAATAACTACTACACTATGTAATCAAATCCAAATGTTCAAGTATAAATGGCATTGAATAAGTAAACAAATCCATGACAAGGGACTAATTGTATATTTCTCTTCATCATCAACAAATAAGATGCTTCATCCAGCAACAGGGTGTCTGTGACACGGTTTAAATGCTGGCAGAGGACGCTGCGGCTGCAGTATATAGTGACTCGTTGCATTCTCCCTCAACCAAAAGTCCTCACGTCATGCATTTCAGCTAAAATGCTAATGTTATCTTACCTTGCACTGGCTGTAGAGACGTGGGTGATGGTCACGCAGATGTGCCATGAGATTTGAAGTGTTGCTGCCTTCTGCAGACACTTGTTTCCTGCACGTTCTGCAAACGGGATAGCCGTCTTCTATTAACTGTCCCTCAGCATTTTTCAGAAATCCCAAATATGCCCATACTTCCGATTTAGTCTTCTTTGAGGGCTGATGGATGTCCTGGGCGCTGCCGTCTCCTCCTTCGGCCGTTATTTCAGCTTCAAAGTTTTGGTGCCGTTGCAAATTAAAAAGTGCGTGTGCGCGCAGCGGGAACTTCAGCTGAAGCGACGGTGGCTGGTAAGGGTCATCGCGCCGAAACCGCGGCCACGGTAAACCCACCGAGATAATTTAGTTTTTTAAAAACTGGACGGTTATTTTTATTGTCAACTTTTTTACCGGGGTTTACCGCTATACCGGTTACCGTGACAACCCTACACTAAAATTATACAAATGATTCCTTATGAAAGGAAGCTCATTAGAGAGCAGTGCAGACAGACTTACTACATGCTGCAGCTGTTTTTGTAGGCCAGCTGCTGCTGAATTTGGGGAAAGTTATTCTGCACACATCCAGATCAGATGGTCGATTACAGAAAATAATGTAATTCAATAATTTCTAAACAGACTAAACAAGTAAAACATCAAATAAATCACTCTGCTGTCATCAGACGGAGGGATTCAGGGGGTGAGGTGTTCTTAATGATGAGGGTGGCTGAGGTGTGTCATCACTCACTTTGGTCTGGTCCAGACCGTCTCTTTACTGGTGGGTCTCCTTCCTCAGTAGGTGACGTGAAACGCCAACATCTGAACGTTCTGTGTTCCTTAGAGGAGAAGAAAAGTAACATTAGCAAGCTGGCTAAATTATTTTTTACTAGCATCTCAAGGACTTGGAGAAGCAGATCTTCACTTACCTAAACATCAGACCAGTTTGTCCCAGCTGAGCTCATCAGGGCGTTAGTCTGACAGCCTGTCAGTGAAACACGGCTCCAGTCTTCTGGATGTGGACTCTAAAAAGCAAAGGAACATTTTTACTTTGTTTTAATTATTTTACAGCCAATTTTATCAGCTTTCCGACGCTCACGCTCATACAGACGGTGAGCTTTGCTGCGTCTGACTGATGCAGAGTTAGTTTTTATATCTGCAGTGAGACAAAAAACTAACCTCACTTCACTTAGAGATCGTTCTTTAAAACTCTATTAAATCCACTGTGTTGACGCACTTTAATGACTTTGTCACGCTGCATTTTAGCTGATATGGGACTTTATTTACTGGATGCTAAGATTACATCACACTCATGTAGAATAACACACAGGCTCTCTGCTGTTACAATCAGTGGGAGGTTATCATCTGGTGTAAAAGAAGGCGTTGATCAGAAATCACGTTTTATTCCACGAAAATCAGCCAAATCCACATTAATCTGGGTGCTAACTTTACTAGCATACTGTGCTAGCGATAGCAAGCCGGATGCTAACGCTTTAGTGCTGCTAATGCCCGTAAATCTAAAGTAAAGTTTGTCGACATTTTAGAGTGATATGAAGCTTACCGCTCTGCTGCTGTGTCCCGGTGATGCCAAATTCAGATGGAAATAACTCCTTTTAGATAGATGAAGCCCTCAGTACTTAGCCACTAGCCTGGAGACAGAACGAACGAACCACGCGCGCGCGCACGCACGCACACACACACACACACAAACAAACGCAAACACACTACTTTTTCTTCTGTGTTTTTTTAGCAGTAGTGTCATCAGCTCCTGGGTTTAAATACTGCCACACCACCCTTCCTTAAAACGAGGAACAGTTTTGAGCTGTGTGTGGCTAAAATAACCAGACATTCTGCATTTTTCCAATAGGACTACAAAAAATCTTAGCGAGAAGAAAAAATGGCGGATTGGCTCTGTGTTTAGCCAGGGCCATTACCATATTTGGTAGTTATCCTCACTAAATTAATTACTGATGTAATAGATAATGTAAAAACTGAACGGGTGGACAAATATGCCCAAAACTTAATTATTAAATATCTAAATAGCAACTCCAGTGAATAATATAAGCCTTTTTGCTCACTTAGACACTTAAAATGTGAAACACACCGTGTTAATGGATAAAAAAGTGGGTTTTTCATGTTATGTCTCCTTTAAGACTCTGTTTTATTATGACTAGGCTGTGTCTGAAGTCCTTCTTCTGGAGATGCAGGTGTTGGATGTTGTGGAGTCCTTCAGACTTGCTGGCGGCTTAAGTCTTAATCTGTGGGTGAAGGTGCTGCGTGACCCAGCTTTGACCCAGCCGGGCAAATACAACTTTTGACACAGAAAACCCATACTTCCTCACGTTACAATTCCCCCTTTCACGACGAAATGGTGGTCAAGCGAAAACCACCTGACATCGTGACCTCAACAACGTGATGTACCCATGAAGGAAGACATTACAGTGTTCCAGATGAAGGCAGGAGAAGGGAAGCGTCTCCCCACGTCCCGTGAAGAAAGGATTAAATCCTGATTAGGTGATTAAGGCAAAACTGTTGCAAATCATTGTAAAGTAATCCACTTAGGAGATCTTGAAAGCAGAGCTTTTTCAAGAGCAGTCAATTTCATCAGCAACAATGCAAAGGCATTTTCAAAAGGATAAGGTAGCCCATGTGTCCACACGGAGCTGAGCAGGTGATGTGGGCAGGCGAAGTCCAGCGAAGACCTCGATACCTCTCGAACCACGACCGAAGCCCCATGCGGCAGGAAACCAGGTGGAGTAAGGTGAAGACGACCCTCACGGAATGGAGGCCAGACGAGCTCAGGAGAAGGAGACACAGAGTGAGGCAGCCCACACGATAGATTGCGTTTGATGCAAATCAAAGAAAATAATCACAAACCTATCTATGGGTACCTTTTGGACCATGTGACGGCATTTTGTGAATTATCTAAAGAAATGTTCTGCACCCTGTTCTACCTGTCATGTGAAAAGGTGATGCAGAGAAAACACAAATAAAAGAACTTAAGTCCTAACTGATATGTGAAAATCATCAGGCTGCACTGATTAAAGGCTCATATAAAGAAAATCATACGAAGGGCAAATGTGCTTGTAGCCCTGTAAGGGAAATTTTAACAAGTTAAACCCTGAAATCAAACATAATCACTCTACACAAAGAACTATTAAAAGATAGAGATGTAAATCAGTACTAAAATGTAAATCAGCAGATTAGTAGTCCCTTAAAATGTGAGTTAGTAACAGGACCCTGGCTGAAGGCAGGTGACCTGAAAAAAAAAACTCAAAGGATATCTCAACTGTTAAAAATTCATCCAACAAAGGATCGAGTGAATTTGTAACATTCCACCAGGTAGTGGAAAAGTGTCATGTCAGGTGTCACGTTCCGAAAACGATTGATGATTAGAAACATAGCGAACCACACGTTAAACTAATGAAGCCGGTGTGAGATCTGGTGTCGGGATGTCCATCCACACACACCGAGACCCTCTCAATATCATCACAGACCTTAGGGCTACTGGAAACCGCAGGATTGTACGTGGATTGTACGTACACCTTGTTTCTGCTGCCTTTGTGGGAGCATTGAACCTATGTGTGCCTAAAGGTACCAATTTTATTTTCCTTTAGTGAAATTCCCAAGGTGGCGTTGTTTTAATCTTTTAACTTAACATTCTGTTTAGTACCAGTAAACCCCATACCACCTCCGCCTCGCCGCATATATATGAAACAAAAGAAAAAGTCTCAACTAGGGCTGTCACGGTAACCGCAAAAATGAAATATCGCAATATGAAGAAACCCATAGTGCTGCATCATGGGCCACCGCGATTACTGAACTTGATTCAACTCAGTGATGCATGTTGAGAAGGATGGCTGCACTGGTATCAAAACGAAACGTTACTTCGCTCCTTTGGAAGCACTTTGGTTTTCAGTACGTCAGCTGCTGCGCAGCCAGAGTCCTTGGCCAAGACAGAACTGCCACCAGCGGCAAAAATAAATAAATAAATAAATAAACGCTCAGAGACCTGCTGAAGTCCCGAACAAGCACTGCTTCTGCAACCGTCCCCAAGAGAGTTTGAGCCGAGCTGGAGCTCACTCGCTACCTGCAGGAGGAATGCATCCACCCTAAAGAAAACCCCCTGACATGGTGGACTAACAACCGGGAGAGATTCCCTTTGCTCGCCAGAGTTGCACGCAAGTACGTGTGCGTTAGTGCAACGAGCGCACCATCCAAGAGGGTTTTCAGTGTTGCTGGAAATGTTGCCACCCCTCTCAGATCCTCTCTCAAACCGTATATGGTTAACATGCTGGTTATCCTTGTGGGTAACAAGGACGTGACCGAGCTATAAAGCACCGTCATTCGTGTGTGTGAAAGTGAAATGATAGTGCCCCGCGCCCGGTACATGTAATTTTTATGCTTGATTTTAAACAACTAAACAAAATGGGGACTTGTTTCTTATTTGTTAGATGCTGCAGCCAAATTTGCATTTAAAAGTTTAACCTTCTCCTGAATTTTGTTGTTTTTAAGTTCAGTCGGACTCCGACTGTCGGAGAAACAAACGTTACTGCGATCTGTGTTGTTACTGCCCTTTGATCTGCATTCAGTAAAGTGTTATAAAAGAAGGCACGGCAATTTTTAACCTTTTTAAATGTGTAAACATTATGTTTAGATAGTACTGCAATAAAAAAAAGTGCTGCAATAATATCGCACACCGCAATATTAAGCCACCCTGAATCACCGCAGGGGGAATTCCTCAACCGCGACAGCCCTAGTCTCAAGTCTTTAAAAAGAAAAATCCAAAAAAGTGAAGACAGTTTTTCTGTCTTGGTCCCTCAGCTCCTTGACACATCCAATCTCCCTCCAGTGTTATTCTTCATCTCCTCCCTCCACCCCTCTACAGACTTTCCGCCAACAGATGTGCAGTAGGACACGCCTGCAGTGTGTGGCCGCCAGTGTCCAGTCGCTTGGGCTGACCACATCTGCTGCAGGCGGGCTGTCTTTGATGGTGGAGACTGCACGCTAGCAGCAGCTGCAGCAGTAGCCTCCGCTACCTTCCTCTATGAATGAAGTCGCCCTAGGCATAGACATTCTCTTATCTTTGGGACTCATCAATTTAAATAAAAGTGTTTAAATTCTTGCAGTGAGCTTTTATTGTGATGGAGGAGAAACTGCTGCTGAGCAGCAGGCGGTGGAGTGGATTTTATACAAGCCACATTTATTACACGTTAGAGAACATCACAAACATGTTTGAGCTCAGCAGTGTCACCGGTTCATTATTGGGTTTCTTCATCGACTCCACAGAACTAAGGTTCTCTGTCTAAAGTCCACAATTACTTTATTAATCCCAGAAGGAAGTTAAGTGTTGTCTTAACTAATTCTTCAAAGCAGTCAATAAAACAATGAGCTCAGTTGGAACTCTGAGTGGTTAAAGACGATGAAGGTTGTGGGCAGGAAGATCTCCTGTGTTACAGCAGCTCTGAAGAGGCTTGTTGCATGAAGAGGATGCTCAGTGTTGTCTATAATGTTATTGATTTTATGAAAAATCCTTCTTTGCACCATCATCTCCAGTGCATGGTTCTCAGTCGTCTCCAGAACAGAACCAGCCTTTTTTGCCAGGTTGTTGAGCCTTTTTAGGTCCCTGCTGGCTCTGATGCTGCTGCCCCAACAGCTGGTGGCCCATAGATCTCAACAGACCTGTAAAAGATCTGCAGCCTCTTGCTGCAGACCTTGAAGGATCTAAAATATTATTCAAGATATACAGTCTACCTTGTCCCTTCTTGGAGAAGGCTTCACGCTTGTGTCTCCAGTCCAGTCTGTTGTCCAGATGAACACCGAGGTATTTGTAATCTTCCACCACCTCCCCCATCTCCCCAATAATGCACGTTGAGCTATTCCCATTTCTTTCTAAATCATCTCATTTGGTTTGTTCACATTCAAGATTATGTGAGTGTCCCCACACCACGCCACAAAGTGGTCCACCAGCTCTCTGTACTCTTGACCCTAACCCTAACCCTGGGGACGTGGTGAAAGGTCATTTCACACTACTCTCCTCCTCGTTAGTTCAGAAGAAAATACTACCATATCTTAAACATCGCTCATAAGACAACAAACTGTTTTTTTAACATGTTAAAAGTCTAACTGTTGTTTTAAAATAACAATTGTACGTCTCAGTCAGTTCAGTAGCGGAGGAACGCCAGCTCGGAGTGAAAGGATCTATCCAGCTCTCTGGTTAGATGCTGAAAACCCTTGCTTCTCTAACTTGGAACAACCCAGTCATTTGATTGGTCAAATGTTGGAACTGAGCAGGGGGACACGCTCCTAACTGCTTCATAACAGTGTCATTTAGGGTTATTATGTTATTTAAAAAAAAAAGAGGAACGCTTCACGAACCGAGTGCAGTTCTTTTTGTTCCATTAGGTTGACCAATCAAATGGCCGTATTTGATCCATGTCTTGAGACTGACATTTTTGCCGACGAATCAGAGAGCTGGATTTTCACAGTCTGTCCGAGCGATCCGCCATTGCTCCGCTCCGTGATCTGAGACGTGAGAAGTAATTATCTTTTATACTTTTTATTTGTAATCTAAAAACTTTTAACAATTAAAAACATTACAGCTTGTTTAGGGGGATTAAGTTGGTACAGGATTTAGTTTTTACCGTAGTGTCATGAAATGTCAACATTGTTTTTGCTGGCGTGCTGCTGCATTACGCTATCTACTCTATCTACTCTAACTAATATACAGGTGCTGGCCAGTAAATTAGAATATCATCAAAAGGTTGAAAATATTTCAGTAATTCCATTCAAAACGTGAAACTTGTACATTATATTCATGCAATGCACACAGACCAATGTATTTCTGATGTTTATTACGTTTAATTTTGATATTTATAGGTGACAACCAATGAAAACATCAAATCTGGTATCTCAGAAAATTTGAATATTCTAAAGGCCAATGAAAAAATGTTTGTTTCTCTAATGTTGGCCAACTGAAAAGAATGAACATGAAAAGAATGTGCATGTATAGCACTCAATACTTAGTCGGGGCTCCTTTTGCCTCAATAACTGCAGTAATGCGGCGTGGCATGGACTCGATCAGTCTGTGGCACTGCTCAGGTGTTATGAGAGCCCAGGTTGCTCTGATAGTCGTCTTCAGCTCCTCTGCATTGTTGGGTCTAG